TCCATCAAATAGGATAAATTTTTCAAAAGTCTTTGCATGTTTTTTAAATATTGAGTTTACCCAATATAAAGTTTATGATAAGATGCTTTGGCTATTACATGATAAGGCTAATAAATATGTTAAAAAAAATCATTAATTGACTTTTATAATCAGTTTGAGTTTTATTCTAGTAAAAGATAAATTTTTGGATGTTAAATCATTAATTTATCACGTCTTGGGATTTGCAATTTGTGCTGTGTGTCTTGTGATATCCAAACCAGTTAGCTTCCACGTAAGGATATTTTCGGACTATCATGGCATTTAATTTTAAATATTTTAATTAACGAAAGCATAACTGAAAGAAAATGGATTTTGAAATTGGATTCTCTCTCCAATTTAAAGAATAAATAAATTATTATTTTAACATTATTAATACATATATTTTTATTTTTTTTAATTTATTTTTGTCATTAGTTTGTGTCAGTTGACTCGTGACACTAAATTATTCATCTCTTTGCTAATAAATAAACATTTTTCTAAATGTTGTTATGGATATTTTTCAATGTTTCCGCTACTCACGAAACCTAAGAAACGAATGAACAGTCATTTGTTTTCGAAAGAAATATAAGAATTTTTTGAGGACTTTTAAATATATAAATAACACAGATATAATCTCAATATTATTGAAAAGGTGATTATTTAGCATCTTGAGTTTCACGTTTTTTTTTAGTATTAGATTAAATGTTGAATTTAAGACTTAATATTTGAAATACACAAATAATCTCAATATTTTTAAAAAGTTAATCATTAATCATCCTTAAGTTTCATGAATTTTTAAAAAATATAAGCTAAATCTTCAATTTAAAACTTGATGTTTGTGACTTTTTTTGAATTAATAATATAATTTATAATTTAATTTAATTTAATATTTGCAAATTTGCTCAAATCAAAATCTTTTATACGATTTTCTTAAATTAAGCATTTAGTTTAGAATACATTATACGATCAAAGAATATGGTGAGGAATCGTTATCTGGGTTTGGTAGACAAAATTTGGGTCCGACTTTCCTTCATTTTTTTTTTTTTTCATTAAATTTTTTTTATAAAAGAAATCAAAGTTTAATGGAAATTAAAAAGAAAAAGAGAATTTACAAGTGCTTGAAAATTGAACTCTAAACTTGCTTAAATTTAATTCTTGAAAGATTAATTTTTAATATAACTTTAATCACTATTTACAAATAAAACTTTTTAAGACTTATGAATTGCTTTTGCAGATGTAAATGTTGATTCCTGATTGCATTAAAAAATAATTAACATAATTGTATAATGGAGAGCCCAACGGCCCAACACCTGATATTAGTATTAGTTGTACTATTATATCTATTGAATAAGTTGACTTTGAGGAACGCCAATTCAAGACGGTAGATGTGCCAAACTTTCTGCGTCGGTTGCTTCTTCAAACACATGCGTGCATAAGAATCATAATCAGTGCAAATTAGATTTCGGAGGATTAAGCTAATGGAAGACTAAGGATCCCACCAACCCCTTCAAAAGTCAAAACTTGCAATGACGTCGTTACAGTACAAGGCTAGCCTATACTTTATATATACATATTTAAATCACTAATTGCACCTTAGATTCACCCTCGGCGGCTATAGAAGCTTCTGCAGCTTTTTAAATGTTCAAACTACAATCAGGAATCAGGATTAAGATTCGTAGGGGAAAACGATTTTGTAGCCCTGCTCCGGCCCACTTTATTTATTCAAAACCATAAATCCTCCGATCTTTGGTAATGGATTCCAACAGTGAGTTATTTGGGCTTGGACTTTGGAACAATCGGGTCCTTTTAACTTGAGAAAAAGCATAAGAGAAATAGTCAATTGGGCTCACTCAAAAGGCCAAGTTTGCCTTTCGTTTAAATGAATGAAAAATTAGATTTTGGTCTGGTGCAGGACAACAGGCTATGCATGTATTTTTTCCTTTTTTTTGTCCCCAAGAAAAAATGCAATCTCAGAAGTCGGTAACGATGAAGCAGATAGAGTGGGAGGAGAAAAGCTCTAGTCGTGGAACGTAGAGAATAGAGATGGCAGACTAAAAAGTAAATATAAATTATCACAGTATATACCTCTGGCTAGTGAGTAAATTTCAACTCACTGACATGAAACATGAGAGATCAAATAATAAGAAAATTCACTGTAAGAAAAGAGGGGGACAACAGGGAAACAATGAGGAAAAAGAATTGAAGGGAAAACTCCACTATCCCAAATTGGCACACCATGTGTGTTCGGTTCCCAAGTTAACATACTTGGTCTATTTTTTCAAAAGCAGATCCATTTGGATAGCTTGGATTGAAGCCTATGCCTTGAAAGGTAAAAGTATATGGCAGGTTGCACTGCAGCAGGGCAGCAGCTAGAGTTGGAGGAAATTACTTCAACTAAGGTCTACTGCACAGCTATTCATCAAATAGGAAAATGGTGTTGAGGTGTGGCATGTCTCGAGCAATGGTTATTCTATTTGCAATGGTTCAGAGTGAGATAAGATCTAAGCAAAGGAATGTTGAATAACATAACTAATCTGATTTTAGTATCATATCCCAAAATACTCAATTATTACATGGGTTACTATTCTAAACAGGCTTGCAACAAAAAATAGTTTGAGGAATTGAGAAGTGGAAGTGAATGAAAGGTATTGCCTATGTCAACATGGAAGTAAATCGAGAGATCACCTAACTTTTGGTTATGAATATGCAAAAATGGTGTGGAGAAGAATAATGCAATCATGCAGAGGAGGTGGGGAATGGAGGTAAGAATTGAAATGGGTAATGAAAAAGATAAAAAGCAGGGCACTAATATCATTAGTATTGCGCGTTGTTTAGAATGCTCATACATACTCTATATGAGGAGAAAGGAACAACATATTATTTAAGAACGAAGAAGGAACAGATAAACAAATGTATCATGGAGTTAAAAAAGTTGTCAACGCTTGATTATATAAATTGCATTTGATTGTTATTAACTCAGTTAATAAAAATGTGTGATTTTTGGAATATAAATAAAGTAATATTGCCTAAGAATTAGAATATGATTTAATTGTATAAGCATTAAGCTAGAGTAGTAGATTGAAGATTGTATGATGTGAATGTATTATAGTAGTTTACTGCTTTGCTTCTTTGGATAAATGAAATATAACTTTTATATATAAAAAAAGTTATATAAAAGTTAACATATATATAACCTGATAATAAATAATTAAGTAGAATACAACCTCGTGGCACAGGGCAACAGTAAGGCAAAAGTCTCTTCAAATTAGAGAAGGCAATCTAATTTGTATCCGACGAATTTTGATCTGATTTAACCTCTTAAGGTTTTTTTTTTTTTTTTTTAAATCGAATTTTGGATCAAGTAACAATAAAAAAATTTGAGGTTGGATTTTTAGTAAATCTGATCTGACCCAACCTAATATATATATATATATATAATTATCTTTAATTAATTATTTAATTTAATATATATTATATTTATTTAATTTTATATTTATATTAAAAATAATATTCTATTAATTTTTTATAAAATTAAATCAAGTACGATTTTTTATTATCAAATCAGATTTGAGTATTAAAAATTTTTTAAAAATCATAAAATTAAGTTAAATTCAATTATTATAATTATAAAATCAAATCAGATTTGGATCGAATAAAATCTTATCTCAACTTAATTCATTGCCATCTTTACTTTAGATCCATCAAATGATACATGTAATTATTCAGTCGCCTTTGATTTTCCACTTTTAAACTAACTACAAGGCCCTGAAAAAGGAGGTGACATGATTTGTAACTGTTTTGACATAACTGTCGAGCTTCCTTTGATGGCTGGCCTTGAGACCCACTCAAGCTGATGAGTCTTGGTTTTTGACCCTTGAATCCCTTGATGGCTGGACTTGGTTTTGAGTTCATTATATGCAACTCTGAGTTGATGCAAAATTTTTGCTTCAAGACATTTACTTTCTTTTTCTTTAACAACTAGCACTGCATAGTATTTATTGAACATTTGAATTTTTTAAAACAAATTTTTAAAAGTTTTTGTTTTCTTATTATATATGTTATTTGTATATATCAACTCTTTGTCTATTGCTTGGTTTCTCTTTATCCTTAGAATGTCCAAATGTATAAAGTCAAATTTGCAACATACTGTAATTGATGAATGTTGACCATTGTTTTGGTATTGTACAATGTACACCTACAAATATTTTTTAAATAAAATGGTGGATAAAAAAATTCTAAAGTTGTGTAACTGCATTATATGCATTATATATAGGACTTAGAGGAGCTTATGCTCATGTGTGCATGGCGGCTATAAAAGGCAAGGTAGGACTTTTTTCTCTAGATTTTTATTCTGTTCTTGCCGGTGAAGAGGTTATTTCAATATTTAACATAAGGTTTTCATGCCTTTTTTTTTTTTTTGGGATATCTGCAGTAATTTTTTAAGAATAATTTATAAATTCAATATAAATTTTCTTAAGCCTTAATTCTGAAATGAAAAAAAGCTCTCACATCCTTTTTTTTTTTTTAAATGAAAAGTTACTTCCTCAATTCTATAAATAGAGAAAAAAGAATTTTGTCCACTGCTAAAATAAAGCAAGAATTGATTCCTCAAGCTTGCTCTTGCTCTGTGATGTCTGTTCAGTCAAAGTATTTGCAGCCATATAAGAATGGAATAATTACGAGAAAAGCTTTGTTCTTTCAGGAACTAATTAATAATCTATTCTACCATTTTAAGCCTAAAATAGTTGAAAATTCATGCAAAAAGCAGGAAATAGAATGAAAGCGACAGCTTGCTAACTGTCAGAGTAAGTCAGATCTGTATATATGCATTATTTATTTTATATATAAATATATGTACTGAGACCAATGAGCCACGTGTCAGGGTGTTAGGTGACTAACAGTTGTCACTACCAGCCTGGATTTGATCCATATAAGTGGCAAGAGTCAATTGCTTTGATTCGGATTACAATCCATTTCTCCTATCATCTCTTCCTCTCCTTGGCTTCATCTTTTCCAGCACTCCTTTTTAGGCATGGCTGAAGCTCAACAACTACAACTCCACTTCATGGGTAAGAGCTCACCTCTTTCTAAACATACTTTGAGAGATTATCTAACAAGGATGACAACAATTAATGTTTTTCTTTTTCTTTAACTAAAAGAGTTGTATTGATCAAAACTAGCTTGTATACAGATGGAGATCTTAATCGTAATTATAACACACCTCCACCCAATATTTTCTAGATTACATTGCAGCTTCTGCAACAGGGATTTACCATTTCTGGAATAGGGAATAGTGCACATTTGTGTTAAAAGTAGAATAAATAGTTTACTAGCTATCCTTTTATGCATGCCAGAAGCTGAAGAAGCAAACTCAAGTACCGAATCTGTCAGCCAAAGAACAGTACTGTTTCGACCAGCTCAGAACTATATGATCAGGTGGCTCCGAATAGCACTCTACATAATCTTTGGCATCTGTGGCCAAACAGCAGCTACACTGCTTACAAGACTTTACTATGAGAAAGGTGGAACTAGCAAATGGGTGGGAACACTTGTTCAAGTTGTAGGCTTCCCTATTCTCCTTCCTTACTACTACATTGCTCGGCGCAAAGATATCACGCCCAACAGTACTACTACTGCTGTCAAAACAAAACCACCATCACTTTTATTACTGGTTTGCGTCTATGTATTCCTTGGACTACTTGTGGCAGGAAACGGATATCTGTATTCTGTTGGCTTCGAGTACCTCCCTCTATCTACAGTGGCCTTGATTTCAGCATCCCAGCTCGCCTTCAACGCTTTCTTCTCATATTTTCTCAATTCGCAGAAGTTCACTCCTTTCATCATCAATTCTCTAATTCTTGTCACCATTTCCTCCGTTCTCCTGTTAGTCAACAATAGCTCTGAAAGGCCTTCTGGAGTCTCTAAAGGAAAGTATGTACTCGGGTTCATATGCACCATCTTGGGAACTGCAACGTATGGCTTGACGCTTGCTTCCCAACAGCTGGCCTTTCGGAAGGTTCTAAAGAAGCAGTCATTTAAAGTTGTGATGGATCTTATAATCTACCAATCACTTATTGCATCCATTGCTACATCGATAGGATTCTTCGCATCCGGAGATTGGAAACTTTTGAAGGGAGAAATGGATGGCTTTGCACCGGGGAAAGTTTCCTACGTCATGACTCTGCTTTGGACTGCTATTGCTTGGGAGGTTTCCATTTTTGGTGGTGTAGCATTGGTGTTTGAGTTGTCTGCTCTCTTTGCCAATGTCATAGGTGCATTGGGATTGCCAATTACTCCAATAGCAGCCATGATCGTCTTCCATGATAAAATGAGTGGTGTAAAGGGAATAGCCATGGTGTTGGCTATTTGGGGTTTCGTTTCCTATGCCTATCAGCAGTACCTTGACGATCGTGAGTTGATTGCCGAAACTAAAACAGCGAGTGAAGTTTCTCAGGCTTGATTCTCATTCAGGCTAGCTTCTGTATTAAGGAAACTAAGGCCAGTGTCCATCGTCGACTATATATAATTATGTTCCTTTTGCTATGTGTGAAACGGTATGAAGCTAATTTGTGAAGCATATCATCATCTTATCATATTTTTGTTTGCCATCTTGAATTCGTGATTGAGAACTGAGATGCCTTCCTGCCCTGGGTTTCCCTTTCCAAGCAATAAAGGATGCCATAATTATTTTCAAATTATTCTCGATTGGGCATTGGAATAAAGTGATTGTCTTCGTAGGAGAATAGTTGACTAGTTGTCCAACATGGGCGGCTTTATTATGTGTGTAATTTATATATATATATATGTGTGTGTGTGTTGTTTTTAATTTCTATATTGTGTAATTATTGTATATGTATATAATTTCTGTTTGATATATCTTTTCTAGCAGCATCAGGAAGTAAAAAAAGTGAAGTAGACATAATCTTAATCAACCAAATCTTTTTGAAAACTTAGTGGAGATTTTCTGTGCATCATTGAATCAATAACTAATTTAATCAGTACAACAAAACAAAGACAGCATTTTATAATAAATTAAAATAATGTAATTTGTTAATATAAAGAGAGAGAGAGAGAGAGAGAGGGAGAGAGAAAAGTAGGGCAATGATATGTTGGAAAAAAAGCACAACATTCAATCTCACCAACTAAAAAGGTCAATTGGATATGGTATAACTTCATTAAAATTGTTTGAAACTAGACTGGGTGTTAAAAATTTATATGCTTAGCAAGTAGTATTAATTGAATATAACCCACAAATAATCTCAATCCTCTTGAAGTAGTCTCGAAGAAAAAATGACTTGAAGCAATTATTTTATGTTGATATATTATTTTTTTATTTAATTTTATCACATAATTATATTAATGAAAAAGTTTTATTACACGAGTGAGATCAAATAAAAAGGTAATTTTTCCCTATGAGAGAAGAGGGCCCGGGGGGGGGGGGGCGGGGTAACACGAAAACAATGAGGAAGAAAAAGTGAAGGGCAAAGTCCACTATCCAAATTAGAACACTGTGTTATGTTCCTAAGTTAACATAACCAGACAATAAATAAGTAGAATACAACCTCGAGGCACAGGGCAGTAGCCAGTCAAGGTCTCTTCAGACCCATCAATCATACATATAATTATTCAATCGCAAGAATGCATTCGATTGGCCACTTTCGAACTAACTACAAGACCCTGAAAAACCAGGAGGTGACTGAGAAGATTAGTAATTGTTTTGCCATAACTGTTGGGTCTGCTTTGATGGCTGGCCCTGAGACCCACTTAGGGATCCATCCCTAGGGTTTTGCTGCTGATGGTCCAGCGATACTCCCGTTTGTGAATGGTAGAAATTCGGGTATCCAAGAGCCCCAAAATGCTGCGATGGTTGTTGCCCTTGTCGAAATCCGCCAGCCTGCTGGTTCTGCCCCTGGAAGCTGTAATATGTGATTGCAGGAACAGCAGACATTGTTCTTGAGCCAGGGCCGTGAATCCACATGGCTGAATTCTCATTCTAACCGCATAAACAAAGAAAAGAAAGGCCCCACTTCAGATTCAAAGCAGCAGAAGAGAATAAGAAATAAGTGAAATCTTCGATTCTTGGGAGTAAAGGGAGAAAAATGACAGCCTTCTTGTCATTACTTCAGTACCATTCAATAAGAATGAATGAAAATTATTCACTCACTATCATTTCATAGTAATCAATGGAAACTATTCAATTCAAATGAGATCTCTCAATGCTCGGTACAGCAGTTACCTGTTGAAGTGACATCAAACGATTGCTGTCCTTGTACTGAGAACTCAGGACATCATCATAGCCAATATTTGTGCTTGCAGGTGCAGTAGGTGGATTCAGAGGAAGTCCCCCAGGGATGCTGGTAGAACTCCCAAACCCATAGCCAGAAGGGATTGCAGAAGATTGAGGCAAGCTGCTAACAGAAACACTATTTTTGTATTGGGGGAGCACAGCTGCCAGGGACTGAGGGTAATTACTACTACCAGCAAATGCTTGCTGGAAAGCTGGTGGCATATATGTGTAACTCTGAGGTAAGAAAGGATAACTAATCATGTTGGCAAAGGTTCCCATTGGAAGCGTAGGTTGGGGAAAAGGGTGCATTGCTAAATGCTGCGGAAGAGCGGGTCCTGTCGCAACAATGGCACCAGGCAGGGTCTGTGGAGTAGGCTGCGGTGCAGAAATACTAGCTGCTCTAAGAGCCTGCACATGTACAAGTTAATCAGGAAAGGAACAATTAAATCTCATCAATTACAGAATTTTTTTAGTTAGGTTTCCAAAAAGGCCTTTTCTTTTCCCTTTTCACCACCCCTACTCCCAACTTTCTTCTTGTTTTTGCTTGGTTTGGGTATTTTTGCTCCTTTTTTCTGACACAAACACAGGCACACAAAAAAAAACACGTGACAATAGTAAATGAATTATCTGGTAGAACCAGATGCATATTTGAGGAAACATAAGAGATGAAATAGTCAAAGCTCACTGTTCAATATTAAGAAACTGGAGTTTGAGGACGTTTCATGTCACCATAGAACATGTGTTTTTATAACCAAAAATCTATCTAATCAAATATACATGCATGACAGTGCATACTTAATGACACTACTACCAGGTAAAGTTTCAGTCAAAATGACAGTAAATATTAGCTCCAATATTAGACAATATGATGTTTCATCTTACTTCATTAAAATCTTGAAATAACACTACCATAAGTTATTCTACCCAAGCTATTTCCAACACCTAGAAGCAGACTAAGTCATTTGGAACGAGTAAACCCCCCAATATTGATTTGCTCTCAAGGGAGTTGGAGAGATCGACTCATATGCCAATTCACCAAAACATCAAATAAAATAACAAAAGTAACTTTGAATTGCAAGTATAGAGGACATTTGGTTTATAGTTATATCTACATCCTCTCTTAGCTGTCTCTTATTCTCTTTCTTTAAACAAACCAAAATCAAATGTTCACAGTAACTTCTCCCAACTTTTCTCTCTTTATTTCTCCCTATTTAAATCATCATTATACACTCATGCACATAAGTGTGTGAAGTTTTTTAGAGGAAAAAGGTGAAGGAATAGTAGTTTTTTTCCCTTCTTGGCCACTAAACCATCAAAAAATGGTCACCATTGCAAAAAGTGTAAAAAACATCAAGAAAACAACAAGATAGAGCAAAAAGCACCTCTGGCATAGAAATGGTTGTCCCACTAATGGAAGAGGTTGCAATGCTGTATTTTGTTGGCATGGACTGAGTCACAGGAAAAGGTGAATATGAAAGATCTGGCTTCCTTGCAGTCTGAACAGTTGATGTCAGCAAAGTGCCTGGTAATGAATTTGTATATGCTTGCTGTAAGGAAAACCATTATGGTGAGAAGTGACATTCAAGAAAACTAACAACGTATTTCAAAGAACAAGGTAGGTCAATCAATAATTTCACACAGTACAACAGGATTTTTCTTGAAAATAAAAAAAAGATCAACAAGATGCAGCTACCAACCAGAAATTTCTATATAAAAGAAAATTTCAAACCCAACTTTAAAACATATGGTTGAATCATTTGCTTGGGATAATAATTTTCATGCATTCAAAACAAAATTGTACAATTAATTCACATTACCATTACATTTGAGAAAGATGTGAGATTTTGCATTTGAGAGCTTGTCTGCATATGAGTGAAAACAGGATTTAACTGTTGAGAGTTTTCATAGTTATAACCAGATGCAGATGAAGGAAACATATATTGGCTCCCTTCGGCAGCTTCAGAAGCATCCTGTTTCAAAACCTCTGATTGAGAATCTTCAGAAGCTTCATAATTCCCAGTGTGAACATTACTTATATTCATTATATTTCCCTCCATGTTATTTCTGAGATGTTCATCACCATAATAATCCAGATTTCTGGGAGAAAAAATTTTTACAACATTTGAAAGGAACAAATGCCTGTTCTCCGAGTGCCCTATAGATGAGTCATCTGCTGCTTCAGGAACCTCGTCCAAATTATTCTTAGAGAGCCTCGATGCAAATGGCCCCGAAAAGGCAGAACCAATGCCAGGTCCAAAATTTCCAAAACTCAAATGTGAACAGTCCAAGGTGTGGACTTGTAGGTGATTTGGAATTATTACAGAAGGATTATCCTCTTCAGGTAGGGGCTCCTGATTATCATTATGTAAATTAAGTTGCTGCAAATTCACAGCAACTGATGAAGAACCATCTTCAGCTGAAGAAAGAAACAAGACAGAAAAAGCGTTAGGTACAAAGCTTCCTAACAGATAGCAATGAGCAAAGCCTACATTAAATGATCAAAAATTAACTCCATATCAAGGTACGAACTATATTGTAGAAAAGGGAAAACAACTAAACCTATGTTGTTTAGTTGAATCACAGTGCATCCATAATTTTGGTGGAAAAAAAAAAAACACAAAAAATTGGGAGCCAAGGAAGGTACAGGTATTTCATAAACCCCTCCTAACCACCCCCTTTCTTTGTTCCAATTGTTTTCCTACCACCCACTTCTATATTGTGTTCAGGCTCACAAATCAACTCGGTAGAAAGAGGAAATATAAAATTATTCAAAAGCTAGGAAAATATGATATTTTCATTGGTTGGGGGGGAGGAAACATAGATGATTCAACAACCCTAAAACATAAACATCCACATTTCACAGCAATCAGAAATGGGTTGTCAAAGAAAATTGCAATCAGTATATACCTTCATCATTAATGTATCCTTCATCACAAGTGATACATTTATTTAAAGTACTAAACTAAACTTCATCATGAATTGCACAAAATTGAGTGATTTAAAGCACTACACTAACCTTCATCATGCTCAAAAGCTTGCCTTTGAGGCTGATAGGAATTCATATCTTTATATAAGTTATTATCGTAAAGAGATGAACCTCCAGAATCATCCTCTTGTAGGTTACCATTGATAGTTTCAACAGGACCATCATCCACTGCCTGAGCTTCCTCTAACTCGGATTTTATGTGTTGACAACTTCTATCCAAAGGCAAGTTAGATACATTCCCATAAAATCCAGATTCCATAACTGCCTCAAAGACAGATGTCACACTAGCAGCAGATGGATTCTCAATGAGGGGCCATTCACCACTTGGAGAAACATGCTGGTTTGTGGTGACATCAGGCTCATAAGTAACATCTGAGACCTTGGAAGTATGATCCTGTAAATTGTGATGTAATACTGACAAAGGAGGTACCACGAGATGCCGATTATTACTGCTTTGATGAGGTCGGTTTGGCATGGCAGAAGCCTTGTTTTGTGGCCTGCCCATCTTCACAATATCAGCCATTGATACTTGACCTGGAACCCCCAACCAAGCAGACTGGTATCCAGAAGGCTGTGATGTTGAAGAAATCCCATCACCTAAACCTACAGCAGACATTTTATGTTCTGTCACCACAACTTCACTGCAAAACCAGCAAAACTCACATAAGAAGAAAGTAGGCAACACATAGAAACCATATCACAATTACAATGTTTATGAAACAAAAATGTAGAAATACCACCCCAAGATAGAGACGATGAAAATAAAATTCAGCCAACTAAAAAGATCTAAAACTTATTTCACATGAAAAACAATAACATGTTTATTGAAAACAAGCTGTACACTCGTTTGGATGCCTCATGTACAAACTCTAGTTACCAAACCATTAGGGTGCCATCTGTCCTTGCCAAACTAGCCATCTTTCATTAAGAATGATTTCGTATCAATAGATATCATTATTCTAAAAGAATCTGATGACATGCAGGCAAAAGAAAAAAATGCAGTAACATGACCCACCTCAGGTCATTCGAACTTAAAACTTATAGCTGCTTTTAAGCTCCCTAACTGGACTAGACAGAGATGAACAATCACTTTTGAGACTCTAAAAAGGTATTACCTGTGGGATGGAGGTCGCTGATTCACGTTATGTCCTACCATACCAGATGCAGAAGATGAAGAGGCTGCATAAGCATGAATTCCATTTTCTCTCTTCTGTGCAGGTTTACCATGAGAAGGACCAGTCTCTAACCAGGAAAAGAGTACTCAAAGGGTAAGAAATCATCTCATAGAGTTCCAAAACATTTTTGAACTGAGTAAAAGCTGACTCTTGTCCAAAGTTGCATTAGAGCATGTTCATAGTCATACCATTAGAGCTGTAAGGGGATGAGCCACCACTCCCAATATATCGGTCTGAACCACTCCTACCACCACGACTCTCAAGGTTATTGGCACCACGAGACCTCGATTCGACTGTATCCTTGCTCTAGAACAAAAGGGGAAAATCAAGTCAAAAGAGATAAAAAGAACCAACATAACCATCACAAATGATTAGAAAATATTTAATAAATTATCAAAGAGAAAGTTCATATTCAGTAAAAAGTGAGTCAGATTAAACACTCATTTATAATGTTGAAAGCAACCAACAACCTGTCATGACACTTGGACCTATATGACCACAAGTATGCCCTCTATTACTTAAATGATGTAACAATAGAGGAAATAGAGATTGTATGGTTATCAATGCAAACTCCACATTCACAAAAAAGCAACTATTTGGCATAATTTCCACCGGCACACACCTCCTTTTTCTTGTCTCGTTTACTCTTCACCTCGTGAAAAGGATCTACACATTTCACAAACATATTATTAGCAAAATAGAGTACCATTAGAAAAGCCGACACTTAAGCTTCCCTATTGTTATCAAAACAAAGCAACATATGTTTTCCCAATCAATTGAGAGTTACAAAGTCAAGGTTTTATCGAGACTAGAGGCATTATCTTCACGGAATACACAAGTCTTTCGGCTTCAAATTGAGTCTCATCGTAGAAAACATAACAATCAAGTGCATCGAACAAACAGAAAATTATACAGCTTATCATAGGAAATGTTTAAATTTTGTAACAATGATATTGCTGGAAACACACACTGTAACTATAGCACTTGCGGTAAAGAAATATTAGTGGAACTTGTTAAACTAATAGAGAGAGAGTATATTTAAAAAAAAAAAAAAAAGCAAACCCAGAAACCTAGCAGTTAAGCAGAACACCAAAACCCAGAAACCTAACATTTATACCCTTTTGCATGATAAAAATAAAAACCTTTTTTCATAACTAAAAAACCCAGGAAATAAGCCCATTAAACTGATAAAAGAAAAGGGCACTAACAATAAAAGGAAAAAGGAAAGGCGGGCGGGAACCTTGAGAGAGGAGGCGATTGACGGCCTCGTTAGGGTCCATGTTACACTCTTTAAGCATAGCATAGATCTCGGGTTCAGGGCAGTTCACAATCTCCTTCAAGCTCTGGACCATCTTCCGAGACCCAGCCGGAATACTTGAAATTCCACTATTACCCTTCACTATCCCATTATTTCCACCTCCACCGCCTCCTTTCCCGCTCATCCTCTGTCCGGGTACCTCTCTATCCAAACAGTCTCGCTTCGTTCTCTCTCAGATCTGAGAATGAACGATGTCGTTTAGTTTCTTAAGTTTTTGTCTTTCGCTTCTCTCGGCGAAAATAAAAGGCAGAAAGCAGCAGCGGCAGACAGGAAAAGAAAAAATTGTATCTCTTCGAAACAACGCTTTATAAAAGAAAGAGCCTTCGTCCTTTTTGTCACCGAAAACCCTCAACGTTTAGCAACGTCTTCCCCTTTTAAACTTACTACTCTGCATTCGCATGTAATGTAATTTATTCACTTTTTGCATGGGAAATTTTAATTGTTTCTTAATTATATTGTCATAATAAATATTATCCTTATATATCTTACAAAATAGAAGAAGGATTATCGTATTGATTTCAATAGATATTCAAAATAGTTAGTAATTTTAAATTTTAATTAATTTATTCAATTACTCTTAAAAATTAATATGAAATAGATGTGATATTCTTATTTTTATTATTACAAATTTTTTTTATCCCTCAAAAAAATAAATACATACATCTATTATTAAAGTTTGTTATACATGTGACATATCAAACTCTTTTTTTTTTTAAGAATAAATTTCATCAAAATCAATAAGTTTTAAATATAATTCAATTTAAATCCATTCGTTTATAAAATGAATAATTCACTCAAAACTTTTCAATTAATAAGATAAATAAATCTTTTCGCCAGTTATCTTTTAATTATTTATTTAATAGTTCATTTAAAATATATTTTTATCATTGAAAAATCAATATCTTTTAATGTTTATATAAAGTAATAATTTGTAATAATAAATTTTTCTTAAAATATGTTAATAATATATAAAAAAAAATTTAGATGCAATATATATTAACAATTATAAATATGCTCACATGTAAATATGTATAATAAAATGAATATATTGAACATGTAACAATTTTTTGACATAGAACAAATTTATTAAAAATGAACATGTGGCATATAATAAGAAAAATGTTTGATTGAAAAAAAATGAAAAGGTTTGATTAAAATTGTTATATGTTTAATATATTCGTTTTGTTTTACATATATTTATATATTAGCATATATATAATCATAAGTTTTACTTTTATATGTTGCATTGTAAAAAACTTTTTATATTATTGATATATTTTATGTATTTTGAGAAAAAATAAAAATAATTTATTATTATAAAATATTAGATTTGTGAATATTTGAGGATATTGATTTTTTTGGGTAAAATGATTCTTTTTTAAATTATTAACGGAATAATTAAAAGATAATTAATAGAAGGATTTTATTATCCTATCAATGGAAAAGTTTGAAATTGGGTGTCAAATTTTTAAATTAATGAACTTAAGTTAAATTATACTTAAAACTTAATGACTTCTATGAAATTTTACTATTTTTTTAAATGTACTCATTTCGTCATTTTTTAATTTATTTTTTAAGATATCTTAAAATCATATTTTTTAAAATATCTAAAATTCTTACTTTTTATATTTTAAAGTTATTTATATATATATTTTACTTTTTTTCACATTAAAAATCATTAAACTTTAATTTTATAAAAAACCTAAATTTTAATATTAAAATTTTATTCTTAAACGCTATAAAAGTTAATAACATCCACATAATTTGGAACAAAGAAAGAAATAATCACACATTATTCTAAGAGAAATGCAAAACAATTGTCTGCATTTTGTCCAAACAATCAGATTTGTAGTCTTATCAAGTAATAAAAGTTTATGGCTTTGTTTTACAATTTTTTTTTTTTTTTGTTTTATTGCTACACAACATCAATGTTGAATCAAGAAAATTATACTATTCCTTCTATAGAAACTCAATGTGTATGATTCTTTGGGTTCATTTGTCTAGTGATAGTATGTAGCCTTATAAAAGCTATGAAAACTATGAGAATTTATGATATGTTCGTAGCAATGGTAAATTTATTCAAACATTATTTTGATTCCTTTCTTTCCAAGAAAAGAAAAAATATTCAAAATATAATTTAATTGATTAAAAAAATGTCATAAAATAAATTTAAAAATTAAGTTTCAACATATAAATTTCTTGAAAAAATAACAAACCAATCACCAAACAATTAGTGGCGGAAACGCGCTATCAAAGCGAGTTCAGTGGTAAGAAAATGATTAAAAGATTAGTGGTTATCCAATACATGAATTTATTAAATATTTAAGTTAATGGCCCACTGGGCGTGTCATCGCGTTGAATGACAATAGCCAACGTTTAACTCGAGAGTCCCAGTTGCTGAAGTGGATAACCTAACAAACCTCTATATCTAAATTTATACTTACAAATTTGATGGGCTGGCCCAGTCTTATCACTGTTAGGATTCTGTCCCACTCCGTACCCCAATTTTGCACTGCCATTCTCGTCGCTTCCCACGATTAATTAAAGTGGTGGATAAATATGAAAATCTAACTAAAATTGATGGGATTGGCACACGTGTAATGTCAACACGGAGTCTGAGATTTGACTTCAATGGAAAATGGATTTTTTTTTTTCAGTTTTTCACCCGTTAAGTTCACGCGTCCGTACACGCATTCGGGTAACCGCCTATAAATTGTAACGGTAACCCCATCTCTTCACCGACTAACCAAAAAGAATAGAAGATGAGAATCTTACTCTGCAACTGCAACTCTCCACTCTCTTCAAAGTCGCCTCAGAAATCTCCACCGTTTTTCCCAAACGCCGCCTTTTGGGCCAAGAAAACCCTATTTGCTTCTCTAACCGGAGGTCCGGAGCTCTCTCAACTGTTTTAGTCTCTTCTCCGTTTCCTTCCCTTTCTCGAGATTCGCCGTCTTTTCAACCGCCACGACCACTTCAATTTTCAACTCCGATACCCGATCGTTGCACCGAAGAAGAAGATAAGGTTGAGCTCAAACCTGAATTCGTCACCGATGAAGAAATCGTACAGAAGCTTGGCAGATCCTTAGTGATAGCTTTCTTGATACCGGTCGACATCGCTGGTCTCCTCAATCCTGGCAGGAAATTTTTTGGTTTTTTTTGGGATAATTTGTGGGTGTGTGTGTGTGGTTTTTTTTTTTTTTTTTTTTAAATAAGCTTTAGTTTTTGCAGCAAAAGAGGGAGGATATTTTGGGTACTTCGATTCAAACGAGGCCTAAGGCTCACGATTTAATCAAAAGAATGCTAGCGAGTTTAGGCGATCCTTACACGCGATTCCTCTCACCAGCCGAGGTAATTCTTTACTGAGTCACAGCTTTTATCCTTATAGTAATAATTTTTACTATGCGCTCAAAGTGCATCAAATATAAAGATCTTGTGATGTTTATTTTGCTTACGGGTTCTTTAGTGTTTTTCTGTTATTCGTCAATTGGCGTTTTTGTGTCACTTTTTGTCTCTATTGAAAGTTTTCGAAGATGGGGAGGTATGACATGACTGGTATTGGAATAAACATTAGGGAAGTTTCTGATGACATTGGAGGTGTAAAACTGAAGGTTCAAGGACTTATATTGGATGGCCCTCCTCATACTGCAGGAGTAATAAAGGTAGAGTAGATCTGTAGTATGCCGATACTTGTATTGGTCAATGTCTCTTTTGGGTGCTAAGAGTTCTTTTTTTTTTTTTAATTACCTCTAACTCTGTCCAGTCATTTATCTTCAGAAACAAAAAATTAATTCTGATTTGTTGCTTAGCTAGATCTGGGGCTATTTTCCCACTTTTCTCATATCAGAGGAATGTTTTCTGTACATATATCTGCATGGCCAAGGCATAGTTATACATTGCTTGATTGTTTTCCTGAATCAAAATGGGAGGAATGGTATTCACTGAAACAGTAAGTAGAGAAATAACAAATCCGACATAAAGAGGGTGAGAGAGGTTGCAGAAGGACAATAATACTATGGACAATAAGAAAGTGGATACCTCCCTGTTTCATTTATTAAATAGGATGAATAATGCTCTTGGATGCAGCCCAAATTGGAAGATTCTACATTCAATGGCTGGTTTGATGTCTTTTTGTACATATGTGTGGTTGATGTTTGATATGCTTCCTTGTAGCATTAGTAATTTCTTTTATCGGGGGGATGAAGTTTTAGCTGTTAATGGAGAGGATGTGAAAGGGAAATCTGCCTTTGACATATCATCTTTGTTACAAGGTCCTAATGAAACCTTTGTGACCATTAAGATTGTGCTCTACACTAGCCCTATGAATATTGGATTTCATTGTTAACATTTTCGCTTGTTCATTTTTTCGCCCAATGAACCAAAGGCAACTTGTCGCTTTAATGCGAGTCTTTTATCGGTTGGAACAAGTTAGTGGTGGCCCCACTTCTGTTGGGTATGAGGCTAGAAAAGATTTGGTCATTGGTAAATTTTATTTACTTTAGTGGATGTCAACCATTAATCGATGATTGTTGTCTCTGATAAAACATGTTTGTGGTGTATAACTTAAAATTTTATTTATATATATATCTTTTAGTATTTGAAAATTAGTGCAAACTATGATCATGCATCTACTCTCTCTTTCTCCCTCAAACACATAAACACACACACGCGTGCACACACACACTTATTCTAGAGTACAAGCAAGATCCATAATACTAAGCAAATTGATGGGTTAGGTTTGTTATATTTAGGAAATTGATTGTTTTGAGCACAGCCGAAGGAATACAAACAAACCTTTTTGACAAATTGACAATCAATGGGTGCTTCTTCTGTTTTTTACAAATTTGTTGAGGCATAAGCTACCAAAGCATGTCAAAATAGATTTCTTTCTCTATTCACATTTATCCTGTATTTGATAATTTAAAAGTTTTATTCCTCCTATAAATGATGTCTTTTTGGCTTGGCTTGAAACTATGAACTAATGCTAATGCAGCTAACTACAAGCACAGTTGGTTTCTCTTTCTCTTACTTACGTGCTCTATTAGATTAATGCAAACAATCTTTACTGCAGCAATGAAGCAACTTCAAGATATGGGTGCTTCATATTTCATTCTGGATCTTAGAGACAATCTCGGAGGACTCATACAGGTTTATTTGCTTTTGCCTTCCCGGTTAGTTTTTACCTTCTTCTGACGTTTAGATTTGATGACAATCATCTCTCTGCTTTTGCTCTTCTCAGGCTGGAATTGAAGTTGCCAAGCTCTTTCTAAATGAAGGGGAGACGGTATGGCCTTTCATCACAGATTTAAACTTTCAAGAATGATGTTTGCTGTTCTCTTTTTCTTTTCTAAATGTACATGCTGTGAGATTTTCTGCTATTTTCTTCTTTATCCCTGTCTTTTTAGCCTTCTGAAAGTGGTTCACTTATAATGCAATTATTCCTCTTTTCTACAAGACAAAAATGGCTTGATGCATATGTTTTGAGTTCCATGAATCATTATGTGGTCTTGGTGTTTTCTCTTGGTGATTCAAATGAGCAGATCATTTACACAGTCAGGAGGGATCCACAGTACCAAAAGAATATTGTTGCTGATACTGCCCCGTTGGTTACAGCATCTGTAATTGCATGCACTTTTGCATCATCATGACATCTGTGCTTTAGTATTTTTTGTGAACATAAAAAGATTATGCTTTTCACAATACTGATTCTGGAGTACTATATTTATTCACTGGTCAGTGCTAATTTTTCTCAAGTAATTGTCTAAGGAACTATAAATTGAAAGGGTGACAGTCGTCTGGGAGTTGAATTCAGGACTTCTCTGACCAAAAAAAGAAAAGAAAAATGAAATTTCCAGGGTCTTCACTAAAACAAATAACATTATAAGTATGAATTCACACATAGTGTTTTCTGTGACATAGACAGGTGCCTATAAAAATTTGTTCAGTCTTTGATTTGTGTTGGGGAGCAAATTATTTGGCTAATAATCAACTTCCATGCAGTTTTGGCGAATAACAAAACTGATAGTGCTAGTGAAATTGTGAGTAGACCAGCTGGCCCAATTTTTATTGCTTTTGTCTTTTGACAATTGGAGTTTTCTAAATTGTCATTCCCACTTCAGGTTGCTTCTGCACTTCATGATAACTGTAGAGCTGTTCTTGTTGAGGAGAGGACTTTTGGCATGGTTCTCTTATTTTCCCCCATTCCATCAAATTGCAATGAAGTTTAGACTTCCGACTGGTTGGTGTCTTTGACTCTTCGTTTATGGGACAATGATGAAAAACTTTACAGTTGGAAATTGAAATCACATTTTTAATTAAATTGAAGGTCCCATTTAAGGTTTTCTTGTTGGGTGGTTCTTAACACCACAAATTTTTTTCTTCACATCCCACTTTTTTTTTATCAAAATTTTCTTTAGGTGAAATTACTTAATTTCCCTTCTCATCTCAATTTTAAAGCTTCCAGATATGCATTTCTGAAAATATATATCTGGAATGTCATATAACTTACCGGAAATGCATATTTGGAAGTTTAAAAAAAAAAAGTTACATTTAGGTTTGAGAAAAAATCAGTTGAGAAAAATATCCTACAGAAAATTTTGAGCTTTCGGATATGCAAATCTGAAAATTTTTAAAAGTTTCCAGATATGTAAATCCAGAACTTTTTAAGAGCTTCTGGATTTGTAAATCAGGAAATTTTTAAAAGCTTCTGGATTTGTAAATCCTTTTTAAAAGCTTCTAAATTTGCAAATCCAGAAGCTTTAAAGAGGAAGGGATGTTAAGAGAAAAGAGAAAGGATAAGGATAATTATGTAATTTCATTTAAAATGATTTTGGAAAAAAATAAACGGTGCGGAGAGTAAAAAGTTGGGTGTGAATAGAATCACCCTTCCTTGTTAAAAGGGTTGAGTTTAAGTCATTTACTGATTTGGCTTTTGAACTAATGCTATAACAGATATTGGCGGTGTAATATATCTTGAAAGTTGCCCTCCGGAAATATCTTCTAGAATCTGATAATGCACCCTTTTTTCCTGTTACGGGGTCTGATTCAATCTGTCTTTGAACTTTGTGATGGATCTGGTGTGGTTGTCATTGTAGGAAAGTATGTGACACCAAATCAATTGGACATAAATGGCAATGGAGTAGAACCTGATTACAGAAACTTCCCAGGTAATTACTTCTTTGACTGCTCAAGTGGAGGGGAATTCCACAAATTAGAGAGCTCTCTCATGAAAGGAATTCAAAAACTATGTTGCTTTGTCCTTTATGTTGTAACTTTAAGATGGTATCTAGTTCTATGCCACTGAAGTTCCTGATTTGATTCCTTTATATAATAAAAGAAATCTACCTTTACTATTCCCGCTGTCACACTTGTAAAAAGTGGATTTTCATAACTCCAAATGCAACCTAAAGGCCACCTTAGATTTCTTAACACTGTGTCAATGAATTGAATTTGGCACTATTTGATCTGATTAACCCTCCATATGCAGCTTGGAGCGACATTGCACAGCATCTGTTGCAATGTAATTCGCTTCAACAAGGCTAAAAACAGATTGCCCTGGGCCTTCTATTTCAGTTTCAACTTTTTTTTTTCCTTCCTGGTTAGATTTTATTGGTATGGTGTATATATTTGGTACAGAAATCTGCAATATAAATCCTGAAATTTTTTGCAGTTGAAGTGGAGGCATGATTTGATTTGCTTGCCCAGTAGTTGCACTTAACGGAGTTGACATGCATATAATGCTGACTTAAGAGCATTTGTGCTTGCACATGTCTTTGGCATATATATCCTGTATGCCAGAGTGGGATTATAGATTTACTGGATTCAGAGTTTTAGCGGATCTGAATCTGATCCCACCTGATATAACACAAGCAGAAAGAAAACATACTGCTAAGATGGATTTACAATTGCAAATGTTGAAATTTGAATTTAAAATTTATTAGATATCATTTTTTTAAAAATGATTGCATGAATCAATTAAATTACGGTCAGTTTGTGGTTTGCCTTCCGAAAAACAAAGACAATCTATTAATATTAAAGCCAAAAAAAGGAAGAAGTTAAACCTACTTGAGGACTAACGAGGTAGTTCTTCCTGGGGTTCAGGCACACGGTAGTGAAGTTGAAGTTAGATCTTAGCCCCTATCAATTCTGTGATAGCAATCAAGGCTGCAAAATCTCAAACATTATTCTTTTCCTAAACAAGGAATCATTATTTTTTTTTCTTTAGACAAATTGAATCAATACTCTTAAGTGGACAATTCAATTGCAATCCCAATTAGGGATAGCCCTTTACTCCGTCAAATCATACAAATCTCTCTCTAACTTCAACTTTTGATTCAGTCCCATAAACAGTAGAAAGAGAGAAAGAAAAATTGCCACCACAACAACGTCATTATTAATTAATCAAATATATCATTTCAGAACACCAGATTTAAATTCCCGTCAGATCACCCTTTTGCCTTTTCCCCCACATTCAGACACTTTTTCCCTCTTTTTGCAACTTCCCTTGCTTGCTAATTCCAACAACCAAATGCCTCCTTTCTTAAGTTTCCTTATATTCTCCTTTCTCTGTTCCCATCTCTCTTCAATCCAAGGAAGCTTTGATTCTTCATGTTTTATTTATATAACAAATGTAAGCATGATGACTAGACTCTTCTTTTGCAATAACTCCATTGGTCTTTCCCCTTTTTTTTTATTATATATATACATACATACATATTAGCTTCTATATTATTGTTCTTATTAAAGAAGATTTTCAAGACCTCCTTTATACAAGCAGATTCAAGTCATGGGTTATAGACTTCCTCAGTTTCTCACAATCTTTCTCTTGCATCTTTTCCTATGTTCAGGTGATTGATATGTCTTAAAGATTTTTGTTTTCCTCCTACATATATTTTCTTGTCATATTTATGCATTTCTATGGGAAACTATATTTTCATTTTTAGGCACAATATTGTTAGCATTTTCTTCTTAACTAATGAAACATAAGTTATTCAACTTCATGTCATTGGTAGGTAATGGAATGGTAGTAAAGAAAATCTTAAGTTGAGAGTATTTGTGTGCATATCAAGATAAGTGAAACTTTTTACGTGTAGAAAAATAATCTAATTCATGTCAATCTTGATAAAATCAAGAGGAATCAATGCTGGAAACAAATGTCATCTGAATGAGTGGATGGTTCTGGAGAATTTCTGTCAAAGCAATAAGTAAATATAGAATTATACAAAGAAAATTATGCTGCATTGGAATGATTAAATTGCAAGCCAAACCCAGGTGCAATCTTGGAATGATTTCCATGGTAATGCTGCTTTCATTTCTGATTGAGTTCTCTGGTTTTTATTCCTACAATTCATTTTCACTTGGATGACTAAATATGAGTTTTCTTTTCTTCCTTTTGTTTTCACTTGTTACCTTTTATGACTATAAAGTTACTTGTTTCAAACTTTACCTCAATTGCACATCAAAATACCCGAAGCTTTTCAATCCAACTGGTATTTTTCAGTTTAGATAGTGACTTATTAGAAAGGGGTCTTGATTTCTTTGGTTTCTCCTTCACAAGATTCTCTTTTGGAGTCTTGGGGGTGTTAGCTAATAGCTCTCCCTCTTTTTATTTTTTCAACAGCTGCTCTTTTTGTCTCCCTAATATTGTTTTGCACTTTTAGCACGAGTTCTAAGTTCTAACATCTGACAAGTGTTTCAACTCTGTCTGAATTTAAATAAAGCAAATTCTTCCTATTTCTTCATGAAAAAGAAAAGAAAAAGAACTTAACTTGCTTTTAATTTCTTCAGGTTCAAGTGTTACAGAGAAACCTCCTCCGGAAGAAACCAATCAAAAGAGAAAACAAAAAAACCAAGACTTGCGGATACTACTTGAACCTTCAATATCCACTACAGCCCCAGATAATATTCCCATTGTCAACCCTACAAAACCAGGCACAACAACTCCAAGCCCAACATCCCCATCAACAGAGCCGATTACCAACCCTACTACCCCGACTACCACTCTGGCAGAACCAATCACAACTCCGACAACCCCAAACACAACTCCTGCAACATCTGGAGGTACCTGGTGTATTGCAAATCAAGATGCTTCACCAACTGCTCTACAAGTAGCTCTAGACTATGCTTGCGGATATGGAGGTGCAGACTGCTCAGCAATTCAAACTGGTGCAAGTTGTTATGACCCCAACACCGTTCGTGACCATGCTTCTTATGCTTTCAATGATTACTACCAGAAGCACCCAGCTCCAGCTAGCTGTGTTTTTGAAGGAACAGCTCAGCTTACTAATATCGACCCAAGTAAGATAGTCATAAAAAAAGCAAAACTAAGTTGTTTTTAAACTGTAGCATAATTCTAATATTTCAATTAAAATTCATTGATCCAGGTAATGGAAACTGTCACTATGTGGCAACCTCGCCAACAAGGTAATATTTACAACCACCTCTTATGTTGTTTTTATTTGCAAGACAAAGAGAACACGAGAGCTTATTTTTCTTTTAACATGTAAATACAGTGTGACTCCGCCAGCCAGTATAACATCACCAGCTACCCTACCCCCACCCACAACCACGACAATGACCCCACCCTTTACCATGACTCCACCTACTTTTACGGGACCAGGTGGGGACGTTTATGGTTCAGCAGAACCAACTGGACTCCCCAGCTCAGCTACCTCTGTGTCATTCAGTTTTTTGCTGATCTTTGCCACAATAGGTCTTGCATGGTCACTTGTCGCTACAAACAAACTCTAGGCAGAAGGAAGCCACTTTCAGTTACTTTTCCATGGTGAGAATGCAATTCCTTTGCTTGCTGGCAGAGGTCACAACCTTACTGCAAGCTTGAGAATCAAGAATGAGATATTTATCTTAGTGGCCATATTCTCACCATTAAGATCTATTGCTATACTTCTTGATCTATGTATACATAAAAGCTGAGTAAGAAGACCCTAAAACAAAATGAAGAAGAGCATAGAATCTCTTAGGTTCTTGTACTCATAGATAAGTTATGATAGCTGCTTTCTTAGAAATACTGTTAGCACAATAAATTATTAGAGACGCCCTCTGCCTTTAGGAATTCTTTTTCTGTAATGGAAACCATCCCAGTCTTAGCTAGTACATTAATAGATTTATTTCCTTTCTAAATGTAATATTACTTTATATTTATTCATCAGCTAGCATTATATTTTTCTCAAATAAATCCATAGAAAACTTTCTCATTATTTCAATGCAATACACGTAATTGAATAGAAGTTCTACAGAGTTAGTCCTCAACCCAGAAGCACACTCACGGTCAGAGATTGAATCTAAGCTAGTTGCTGTCCCTGTGCATTGATGCCTATTTTACTTATGATTGAAATGGTGAAGATGTTCATTAGTTGCATTAGTCAAAAGAGAAGTATCCAAAGACAGAAACCAGCTTTGGCAATGTCAATGGCACACATGCTTAATAGTGAAACAAAAAGGGCCAATAACATTTCAACGACCATATTCATAATTCTTCCACTGCAAACAAAACTTGTATTATTTCAAGACTACGACACTGATAAAACAAAGCCAAGTAAAAAGGAAAATACAGATTCTATATTCTTCTTTAGAATTTGTATTTTCTCAGCTCAAAATGTAATCATCATCATATTAACACAATAACAAAGATGTGCAAATTAGCATTATTCTTACAGTACTGTCTCCCTCTACGCGTGTTCAATAACTTGAACAGAAATCTTGATTCTACATTACATTCAGATCAAAAGCAGGCAGGAGACAGCAGTGATACACATAATGGCTATGGAGGCAACAATTGAACCTTGGTCAAATGCCTTCTGCAAGCTGCCCGTTCCTTTGAAATGCTGGAAAGCCAAATACGCTGCGATCACTAAGGCAATGATAGCACCTTGTTGTGTTCCCCTGCCAATGAAAAACAAAAATAGAGTACAAAAAAAAAAAAAATCAACAAACACAAATACCAAAAAGAAGAATCATAATATCAGTTTCCATAAGGGAATACATTCACTAACCTTAATTTCATTACTTGGTTAGGGGCCACAATCACCATGAGTAGTGCTACAAATGGCAACTCAAGTTCACCTAGAAACACACAAGAATTACGTTCTCTTCCAATTAATTAGCAAACAAAACAAACTCATAATTTCATGATTAAAAGACTTCAAGGCTGAATTATTCTGCAAAATCTAACAATGTAATTTACCGGGAATGTGGAAGAAGAGACGGACAAGCAGTGCCAAGAATGCTGCCCAAATACCATATTCAACCCTGTAAATTTCAACACCATCAATCAAGAAGAGTGCAAGGAAAAAATGTAGAACACGTGAAATTACTCAGAAGAATTACAAAGAGAAAGGACAATTTTGCTTACCTCATCCAAGAGACGATGCTTGATGGAGCTTGAATTGCGAACAACGGAACAAGAAATTGTTTTTGAATTGCTGTTCCTTTTGCAAGCAACGAAACCCTGTTTTCAAATCAATTCAAAAAATGATTTTTTTTCTTTTTTCTTTTTTTAATTTTCAAAGTGAAAAGAAAAGGCAATGAGAAGTTTTTACGCAGAGGCAATGGTGGAGATCCACTGGAGATTAGGAGGTGCTAGAGGTGCAGCGTAGCAAACCGCACTCCATCCTCTACTCTTCTTTACTATTTCCTTTTGCTTGATCGAAAATCTACAATAGCCAGCCAAACCCAAATTCAGAAAAAAAAATTTCCTTCATTTTCCGAATTTGATTGAATCGAGATTAAACTAACCTGAGAGGACTGTAACTGATGGAGCTGGAGGAGAGGTGAGCGAGCGTGGAGAGCTTCGTCGTAGCTTGAAAAGGCGCATTTCGAAGTGGGAAAAGTGGTGCGTTTTTGCCCGCATTTCTAAAGTATAGACACTGTGGTGCTGGTGCTGGTGCTGGAGAGATCGAAACTGTCATCATCTTTATTCCGAGTGATCGCATATACGGCGAAGAATAAAACACCTTTTACAAATCATTCGCCGGAAACTGTTACCCGTCATTGTCAGGATTTGATTTTTATAACGACAGTTTTAGTCCACGTGGAGGACTGGTACTTGTTTTTTGAATGTCAACCGTCGTATCACTTGAACTTGGTTTAACCGAATAACGTGCCGCCACGTGAACGGTTCACGGTTCCATGTTGGATCCGGATGGGACGTTCCTCCTTATCCGCAAAATCTTTGACCCCATCAAATCCCATTCTTTCGTCACTTTTCTTTCATAAACTCCAAAGCACCGTCATTTCAATTATCGATGACAGTCGATCGGGTTTTTTAATTCAACTTTGATATGATTTTTTAACATTTACACTTTGATTTGGATATGATTTAATATTAAAATTATTTTTTATTAGATTTAATTCGTTTATTTATAAATCATAATTAATACAATTCGCAATTACTTTAGTAATTTTAATTTAATATAATATTTTATAATATTATTTATAATATAAATTATATTTTAATTATATAAATATAATATTTTATTAAATTAAAATATTTAATAATAATTTTATTAATATAATATATATATATAATTTAATAAAAAATATTTTTTTTATATATTAAGTCAAGATGATATAATCTAAAACTTAGTTCTGACTCAATTCCTATTTTAGAAAAACCCAACCCATTTTCTATCAACTTTCGATTAAAAAAAAATTTAACTCTTTGAGATGGATCAAAACTTTTTAGATATAAATTATTTTACTATCCTAATTTTGATTGAATAAATTTTTTTTTATATTTATATCTTATAAAGTTGAATTCAGGCAAGTTAAAATTTTGTTTTAATAATTATTTTTATTTAATGTACTATTTTCATTAATTACAAAAATGTTTTTATAAATACCTTTTAAATATAAAATACAACAGTTTGAATTTAATTATTTTTTATTAAATGTCATTTTTTAACACATTAATTTAGCTAAACATGTAAAATCTTTTTTCTTTTCATAACAAAAACTAAGGAAACAAACTTATACAAGTAGTTATTTTAATATTTCCTATTACAAATTTTTAATTGAAAAAATCAGACACTAAAATTTTAAATGAGCCCAAATTAACGTGGAAGAGCATGCGCTTAGGATTGTCCGAAAAAATTAGGTCCAGCTTGGAATTGGGTCCGTTGGGCTTAAATTGAACTGCTTTACCTATTCATCGAACATGTTCTTAAGCCAGGACTATCTGATTATTAGGGTCAGCTTTTCGTGGAAGTACCCAATAAAAGTGAGGTAATCTGGTCCAATGCATTGATTCAGCCTTCGTATAATAAAAATCCAAATCCTTGAAGGCCAAGGCCCGTTTCTTTTACAAAATTAGGGGAAAAAACGGAAACAAAATTAGAACACTGTATATTTTCTTAATAAAAATCGATTGCCAATTTGATGCGGAAGGCGGCAGAATTGGTTTTTTCTTGGTAACAATAATGGAGGTACAGATTTCAACAACTGAAACAGAGCCGCATCCTAAGAAAGGAGATTCTTTAGGTAAACGCTTTCTTAAACAGTTACTACTACTAGTGAACGATTTTTTTTTTTTTTTTTGTTTTCTATGTTAATTGGTTTATATATATATATATATATATATATATATATATTGTTGCAGAAGGCTGTGATGAGCTGAAACTTAAGGAATTAATATCTGAAGGTAAATTATTATTGGACTTTGACGGATGGACTAAGCTTATTTTGGATGTTGAGAATTTATTTCATGTAAGTTCCTTTATTTGATCATTTTTGCTCCTTCTTTAGGTTTAGGGTTTGTAATGTTGATATATGGCTTTCTCTTGTTTTTACATGTTTGGTGTTGATCACTTGCAGGATGAAGTAGAGAAAATATGTTTAGTATATGATTCCTTCTTGTCTGAGTTTCCTTTGTGCTATGGTTACTGGAGGAAGTATGCTGGTCATATTATACGGTTATGCACCATTGACAAAGCTGTTGAAATCTTTGAACGTGCTGTGCAATCGGCAACATACTCTGTCGGTGTTTGGGTTGACTATTGTGGCTTTGCTATTTCAGTTTTTGAAGATGCTAATGATATTCGTAGGTAATCTTAATGCTGATATTGGTTTAAGGATAAGGTGGAAACACATTCTATTTAGGCTTAACCTTTACAAATTGTTAAATTTTATTCGATTTCTTATATGTTTGTAAACTGATAGTAAGATGTGGATAATTTCCTTCAGATATAGAATTTGTGTTTGTTTGTTGCTTCATGGAGAGATGAGGAGTATTATGTATCAATTAGTTTTCTGAAATATACAACTCAACTGAACTCAATCAAACCTTCAACCACACTAGTTGGGTTGGCGTAACAGCATGTAACTTTGTTTTATCTTTCATTATCTGTTCTTCAACCCGATATGACGCTTTACTGATAGAACAATGCATTTATCATGCCACTGCCCTGCTGTGATTTCCAAAGTCTTGAATATTCTTGCTTTATGATGTATATATGATATATATTATCTTTCTGGAAATTATTGACAGGCTATTTAAAAGAGCCTTGTCCTTTGTTGGAAAGGATTACTTATGTCATACTTTGTGGGATAAATATGTCGAGTTTGAGTTTTCTCAGCAGCAGTGGAGTTCCTTAGCTAATATTTACATCCAAATTCTGAGATTTCCATCCAAAAAGTTACATCATTATTATGAGAGGTATTTTCACATCTTGACAGAATCTTGGGATAATTGTTTAAACTTTCTTTTGTACTAGTTTATTCACCTATGTTTATGTTCGTATATCGGAATTAATGCAATATGCTATGAATTTCTAAAAATCTTGTTTCATGTGCTAGAAAAAGAAAACTAGTGTGAAACTGAAGGAACTTGCAAAAGTCTGACTACTATTTTTGTTACTTTTTTTTGAATATTGTGTCACATTAGAACCTTCAACTAGTTTACTGAGAACAAGTTTTGCAGACCATAAAAGAGTGTATTTCTTTTTCATGTTCTGAAGATCTTACCTTATTCTTTCTTGCTATACATCCAATTATAGTATGATTTATCTACCTTATTATATGCTTTGCTTATTGGTGATCTTGGGTCACTGCTAAAAGCCCTGATTATTTCATGGTACTTTACATATGTTTATGAGGATTTTCATTTGATTGTTTAAGGTGGTATTATGCTTCAGCATATCTTTGATTTACATAGCTTTTGGTCTATTAGCTTAGTTTGATATAATCACTTGTAGCTTATCTTTTATCTTTATTGTTCTTTTGAGCCTTTGTATGATATTTTACCTTTCTTTCTGTGTTTGTTTGCCTCTTATTGTTTGATGTATTGTTATTCTCTGAGTATATAGTTATTGTACAATAGTTTGTGCTTTCTTCAGTTTCCAGAAGTTGGCAGCCACTTGGAAAGAAGAGATGCAATGTCTGAATGATATGGATTTAAAATCAGATCCCAGACTAGAAAATGAAGTCTCTACATGTTATACTGATAATGAAATTTCTTGTGTCATCAAAGACTTGCTGGATCCTTCCACCGGCATGGATGGTACTAAAGCACTAGAAAAATATATATCCATTGGGAATCAATTTTACCGGGAAGCATCTCAGTTGGGTGAAAAAATACATCGCTTTGAGAGTAGCATTCGAAGGTCTTATTTTCATGTAAAGCCACTTGACATCAGTCAATTGGAGAACTGGCATGAATATTTAAACTTTGTAGAGATGCATGGCGATTTTGATTGGGTATGGTATCATAAATCTGTTGCTTATCTGGTCTTGCCTTTATTTGGTATCTGAGTCTCCTTTTGCATTATAGGCTGTTAAACTTTATGAGAGATGCCTAATTGCATGTGCTAATTATCCTGAGTTCTGGATGCGCTATGTGGATTTCATGGAAAGTAAGGGTGGAAGAGAGATAGCAAACTTTGCCCTAGCTCGAGCAACACAAATTTTTCTGAAGGTACTCATCCTCATAATTGTGCTTATACTCTTTCAGAGAAGGAGAATAGAAAATGAAACCCAAAGATTCTAACTTGGACATCTCAAGCAGTAGAAGGTCTACCAATTTTAGAAAAGAGATAAATGATCCTTCATCTGTTTGAGGGTGCTAATCCTTTTCAATGAGTTGTTTAAGATCAGAGTTCTATATCTTCTAAAATTGCCATTTGCATCATGTAGTTTTATAAAAAATGAATGTAGGTTTGTGGTAGTTTCAAGGTACTTTTATGTTGTACTGGAATCAAAGTAGTTAGTACCATACCTGTGGGCGTACGGTTTTTGTTACTATGTACTGGTACCGATGTATTTCGATGTACCGTTTAGGGTTTATCAGTACTATCTAATAGACAAATCTAATATTTTGTCTATAAAATATATATACACATACAAACAAACCTCAGTTACATACATCTATATGTTTATATGCAAATATAGATTTTAAAGTTATAAATATTAAATATCCAATATTTTCAAACATCAAATAAATTAGGAAAATATAACTAGTTATTGTTCAATAACCTAATGAACATTTATTATTTCTGGATGAAATTATGAAAAAATCAATGATCTTGAAAGAAAAGGTATTAGGAATTGATTAATAGAATAAAATAAGTGAAAAGATTAAAAGAAAGGTTTTTTTAAAAAATGAAAAATCTTGTATAGGCTGATACAGGCAGTATGGCTGGTATGAACCAGTATGAAAAGCGAAATGGTACATACACCTAGATGTATCGGTTTTCCTTAAAATCGGTACATACCAGCTGGTACTGGTCTGGTACCAATAACATTGACTGGAATATTGAAGAATACATTTGTTTATCAGAAATAAGAAATTGTAATCTCAACATACCTGCATTATCCCTTATGCATCTTGAGTGTAATAACCAGCAGTTAGATTATTTATGTTTCTTTCTACACTTTCACAATACTATTAGTAATTCCAAAGCAGTTTATTCCATACTGAAACTTCAGCTGATTGCTTTTATTTATAGGATGCTTTCTCCATTGCTTTATACATGATAGAAGATGCTTATGGCCATCCTCATATGTCCGTTGCAGAGAATGCCGGTGATCCACCTTTTCAGTGCTAGGTTTAAGGAGAAAATTAGGGACATTTCAGGTGCACATGCAGCTCTTCTTCAGTATGAGACAGAACCAGATCTTAGCTTTGTTGAAACTGTTTCAATAAAAGCTAACATGGAAAAACGTTTGGTAAGTAGTTCTCTCTTGCGCTCTCTCTCTTTATTTGACTATTTGCATGGGCTTGATAGGGTGTAATTACTTATACATATAAGTCCTTTCCCAAATTTGTCAGGGCAATTTTGTAGCCGCTTCTAATACATACAAAGAGGCAGTGGACATTGCTACTGCAGAAGAAAAGTTTGACATTCTTCCCGTATTGTATATTAATTTTTCACGACTTCAATACATGGTAGGTAAAGAATTTTCATTGGTAGGTTCAACCTAAACTATCTGCGTAGCTGCTTTTTGATGTTCATGATTCACAGCTAGACGTATTTCATTTTGCATTTATCTCTCCTCTGATGAAGAAAGGCCACTCCAGATTTATGATAAGATTATATCTGTAAATGCTTCTATCAATTGAGATTTGAACAAAACATGTTTGATTTTTCATATGACTTGCACCTATAACAGCAGTGAAAGTGTGCAATTTCATTTTTGTGTTTCCTGTATTTATTTTCTTTCCTGTGCTACTTTTACCCTCAATTTTCTCCTTGTGGAATTGCTTATATGCATTATGGTCCTTATCTGATGAAAAAATTTGCCCTATTAATCTACATTTTCTTTGTAGTCTTAGATATATCCTATGTTTTTTTCTTACAGCATTGTACTTTCAGATTACCAGTAATAGTGATGCTGCTAGAGACATCTTAATAGATGGTACCAAACGTGTGCCTAATTGCAAACTGCTTTTAGAGGTAATTATGTCATCTTCAACTGATGATTTGTCTGTTATAGGATCATGAATAGAACGTTGGTGTAGTCTTCAGGCCATATAACATTTGTGGTGATTATGCTGGCACAAGACCAAATTAGAAGTCCAGTTCCTCCCTCCCCCCCCCCTTTCCTTTGCCCTACATCTCTTGTAAATTCTTGTTAAACTATACCTGTTTGTTAGAGTTGAGCTGCTGTTAGATGATAAAAGTTTCAATCATTCTGATATTGACTTCTCTAGGAATTGATAAAATTTGGAATGATGCATGGAGGGCCAAGGCACATGCATGTGTTAGATGCTATAGTAAATGATGTGATATCTCTAGGGCCCTGTCAAGGTATGAATGCAAAAGAAGCGGAGGATATATCAAGCTTATACTTACAGGTATAGGTTTTCTCTTTGAATTTTCTGCTGCAGTTTCCTTTTAGAAGTGGTGTAAGAAGATGTTTTGCTCCTCATGTTATGTTTTTTTGCCCCTTATTGGTTGTTAACCTCATCTCATATGTTTCGGCCTTTTATTATGGGCCAAATTGGGTAAAAAACTTTTTTTGCCATTTATGTTGTACTCTCTATCTCGTTTATATACGCACATTAACAGGAATCTTTTTTCTGAAAAGTGACCAGTGGACTTGAATCTTTGGTTTGGTTGGCATTGAAAATCTTAACATCTTTACATTTTTCAATGTCTTCCTATGCAAATAGATCTACTTACTAGCTCTCCAAGATCCTGTTTTGTATGCTAGTTGCTGTAAAATGGCCATGGTTCTTTGTCTCTTGCCAGCATTTGTTTGTTTTTAATCTAAATATATCTGGCAGCGGGAAATATGACCTATGAAGCCAACTTTAAATACAATAGTGGGAAAATGAAAAGGCTTTGTTGTTATTAGAGTGTTGCTATTTGCACCCCAACAATTACTCAACACATCCCTCTACTTTTAACACCAATTTTTAACTCAACACATCCCACACTCAAAACACAAATTTAAAAAACCTAAACACCCCATCCCTTTCTCTCATCCCCCATCTCCTCTGTCTCTCTTCATCTTAAAGATTTTAAGTTCAATTAAGCCAAATTCAAAGGAAATTTCATCAATTTGAAGTTAAAAAGCATAAAATTAAAGATAAATCATTTGTTCTTTCTACTTTTTTATTTGATTTCGTGTTTAGTTTCGTAAGATTTCATATTGAAATATTTGGATGCGATTTGAAACTTTCACAAATGAATTTCTGGAAGTTTTTAAAGGTTTTCAGAAATAGATGTCCGAAAGCCTTTAAGAACTTCCAAAAATCCAAAGTTTCCGGAAATAGATGTCTGGAATGGATTGTGAAAGACAAAAAGGTAATTAACTAATGAGTATTTAAGTAATTTCATTAAAGGTTAAATTTGTAATATCATTTTTGGGGTGGATTGAGAAAAAGTTGAGGTGCAAATAGAGGTACTCTTGTTATTATTATTCTTGTTCCTGAATTCATCTGGAACTGATTGACTAAAATAACTTTTATGCTGGCCAGTTTGTTGATCTTTGTGGAACCATAGATGATATAAGAAAAGCATGGAATCGCCACATAAAATATTTTCCTGACTCTGCTAGGATGAGCACGTATAAGTTCTCAGTTAGTAATGGTATAAAACCTATACCCCTAAAGATGACAGCTGGCAGAAGACAAGAAAGCCCTGGTGCTTTGCCTTCCCATCCATCTGCAGATGGAAGCTTAGACATCCCAACTCAGTCACCATCTCAAGACAAGGTATTGAAACCTCCAGAAAATGATGATACCCAGCCTAACCATGCTGCCTCAGACTGTGTATCGGATAAGAAATCACCATTGCAGGAAAATCATGAAATTCACATCGACCAAGCTACTGTCAACAGGCTTCAATCAGGAGAAGTTGATGACAGTTTGCAGGGGGAAGTGCAGCATATGTCTCAGGATATTTCAGAGCAGCTCAGAGAAGATACAAAAGCTAATACAAATTTGTTATCTCATGATTTAGTTCATGAAGGGACAAATGAAGTTGAAGCATTACAAACTTCAGAAGAAAATTCTAAAGAAAATGTTGTCCAGCAAGAGCATCATCATAAGTCTGAACAGGATGTAAACCGACTTTCACTGGAGAAACTTTCATTGAGTCACCTAGATCATAAATCTTTGGATTCAATCAGTATCGCAAATCAGGAAGCTGAAACTTTTGGAGAAACCAGCTTATCAAATGGAAGCATGGTGAAAAAAGAACCACCCCAAGAAACCAGCACCTCCAGTGAAAGTGTGCCAACGGATGGTCAAAATAATGCTGGAGATTACCTGGTATCTAGCCCAAGGAGTGCTCGGGCATCTGATTCTACCGGAATTCAAGCTGACATGGCCAGTCCTTCATCTTCAGCTAGTCCACAGAACATCACGAAAGCAGAGCCACTTTTACGAAGGACACCTTCATCCGGTGGTGGAAGCTGGAGTAATTCTCAAAGAATTCATAGGGACAATAAAGGATTTCGAAGGCACTCTCATAAAAGGCTTCATCAAAGACGGCAACTGTCCCCACAAAGGCAGTATTCACAAAATGAAACTGGCACACAGGTGCCTATGGATCAAGGTTACCCTAGTCAATCCATGTCTTCACAGAGCCCACAAGTTCAACAAGGTGGCCAAACACAAAGTAAGTACTCCACATCTGCTGCTCATCCTAATTTAACAACAGCTCATGCCTGGTCTATGCAGAACGTGCAGCAACAGAATTTTGCCCCTAATCAGACTCAATTATTTCCCCAACCTGCTTATCCTCAACCACAGATCTCTCAGCACCCCATGCAAAGCAATGAGCAGCTTGGGCAAATGCAAAATAATCAAGCGTATAATCAAATGTGGCAATATTATTTCTACCAACAACAACAGCAGCAGCAGTTTCTTTTGCAGCAACAGCAGCAGCAACCCCTGCATCAACAGCCTCAGAACCAGCAGCAGGTTTTACAGCAACATCAACAGCTGCTACAAGTGCAACAGCAATATCTTCAGCAGCAACAGTTACTACAGCAACAATTACCCTATCAGCAGCCACAGCAACTACAGCTTCAGCAGCAACAGCAATTTATTCAACATCAACAGTTTCTTCAGCAGCAGCAGCAACAACAACTACAACCGCAAGGCTCTTATCAGCAGCAATTTCCACCACAAAATCACTATTTTTACTTGCAACAGCAAGAACAAGAACAAAGACAACAAGATGGGCAGATCTCAGCATCACAGGCTCGGATGTGGAACGATTTAAGCAAAGAGGTGTGCTTAATACTTAATCATGTGGGTTTACAATACTTTGTGTAGCGAAAAATTTTCTACCGGGAAAAGGGAGAGGAAAAGTTCACGTTCATGCTATTACAGATTTTTTTGCTTTTCTTTTGAAAAATAAAGTACTTGTTAATTTCGGGTAGGTGAATTATTCTTGCAGGAGAAAAATAAGGCCTGAAGTTCATTTATTTTCAAAATCATGGTTTTCCTATCCTAAAGTCTCCATTGAATCTGTTCATTCACACTTTGTACACGGTTTAGATTACTTAAGATATAAGTTTTCTGATTTTAGCAAGCCTGACATTCCTTCCGATACCCTGAAACCGATCATGAGATTTGCATCTGTTGCAGTGCAGTACTCTCTTAAGTGAAAAGATCTTCTGGTCATGAGAGGCAGATTTAAATTTGAACTTCTGCACTTATATTTAAGTTGTCATCCTGACAGCAATTGAACACTTCTTACCGCAGGAATCCATGATGGAATCAAGGCGACCAACAACATCGCAGGTTAGTTAAAGTTTTTATTATTTTGCAAAGATAGTTTATGTAGTGAACATGATTGGAGTTTTAGCAGGCATCGGACGCATCATTAAGTGTTTTAATGGTAAAGCTGTCTTCTGTAAAGCTGGTGAATAATCAGAAGATTCCTTGGCATCTAAGTTGCTTGCCTAGAATTTATTTAATCTTTTATTTGCAGTTCGATCTCCCTCCTTAGTCAATTATCATTCCTATTATTGTCATGCAGATATATGCATATGTTCATCTGTTTTGTGAATCAGTGTTTTATTTTGATCTTTCGTATAATACAGGGCCAAGATACATTGTCTCATAGGGACGAGGCATTTGACATTGTATTATCTGCAGTATCCTCGAATTCCCAGCAACGATCTTCTCCAAGCCAATGATATTGGACTACGTCTACATGCGGATGCCACGTTATCTCAAGAACCAGGGGCGGTTACTATAATTAAAACTCGTGTTTCTACGTGTCATCACATTTTCAAGACTTGAATGGTTATATAACTTGAAACTGGGTTAATTGATCTGTAACCTTTACGTCGCTTACTATCGAACGTGCCCTTTTACGGTCAGGTCTTCCGTATGCATCGCAAAAACCAAATTATGATTTTAAGGTTTGGAATCATGACAAAATGCAAGAAATTTTAATTCTGACATTTCTCCAGGTTTTCCTCCCACGGTTACTACGCTGAACTTGGTTCTAAATCTACATTCAGATTCCGCTATCTCGATCTAAAATGATGGCTTCATTTAATTCATTATTCTGTGGGAGGAAAGTAGAGGGCAGGAGAATGGATTCAAGCACGGACAGCAGAATATGAGGTATTGCCACTTGTTAGTCATCTAGGCTAACGCCTGACTGATGCTGCCCTGCCGCAACATCTAATGGAGCTCTCTTCTGGGTACTAGAAGCCTGGATTCAGATATTTTCAATAGAGTGAAATATAAACCTGATAAGCCGGTTTTAGATCATGAGAAAAAAACGTCAATGATATGAAAGGGTTGCTGCGGGACGATGCATGCTTATTTTAGAATCGGAATACAACTAAATTTAAACAAATGAAGACAACCTCAATCAATGCAGTAATAAAGAAGTGGTAGTGAAGAAATTACAACAATTACACAATGCCAAACGGCATTCAGTTCAAAATAGTTTAAAAAGTACAATTTTTAAGAAAATTAGCAGTTATGTGAAACTTTTACATGGTTCAAAGTTACCAAGTAGCTCTGCCGACCTCTAAAAGCAGAATTAAATCACCTTCTACCATATGACATAAAGTAGGAGAAATTGGAGGAAAAAATAACTTGAAAGCATAAATGACAATTATCTTTATCATCTCAAAATTTACTTTCATCTCTCAATTTGTTCTTATAGTCACTTCAGAAATTCAAAGGGGAAAAAACGAATGTCAGGATCATACATGGTCAGTAGCTATATAAAGAAAATTCAGAAGAATAATTAATGAGCAACGGAATTCCGCGTACCTATTATTTTGCCATTAGCAGATAATCTAGTAATGTTCATCATACGACCTGCAGGTAAGGCATACAAAATTGTAAAACCGTAAAGATGATCAAAGGATTCAACAGATGTTATGACAAGCATTGTAGCTAACTTGTATAAGCCCACACCCATCAACCTTTTCTCTTGAATTCTCCAATTTCGCAGAAGGCAATATGATCTTCATTCCATAATCTTCTTATAATCTAAGCAAAGCTGAAGGAGCCACCTAACCAGGAAGTAGCTCTTATTGAGAAAATCTTGCACTGTAAAACCCCAGATTATCTCATTGTTTCCAACTTTGGATCCGTTCCTATCTTTTAAGTCTTTGCATCTAGATTCTTGTACACAACACAATTGGACCACTCATTTATGGCACAGGTCCAAGTGTTGCAAATGAGTAAATTACCTAAGTGGATAACATCATCATTAATCTTCTCAAATCTTAAGTATCAGAAAAGCTAAACCTTCCCAGAAACAACATAGTTTACCCAAAGGCTCTAAGGCTGTATTCCCATCTTACCTGAAATCGCTCAATCACTTCTTAAATATGTCATCAATTCCAATATGATGCATATTACAAAGATAATACATGGAGATATATTGGCAGTCTAGATGTTTTACATATATTACCGCAAGTGCAAGAGTGAAATCAATGTATTAGAATCATGTATTAAACAACATAAGCATCAGCAAGGTATACATATGAATCAGTTATAAAATGCCTGCCTAATTAGAAAAGACTTCTATCTTTGCAATAATGACACATATCTTCTGCTATAACTTAAAGTCAGTGAATCAAAAACTCAAGTGATTTTATGACTAATTAAACTCTTAGGGCCCTTTGAGCAGTGGTTGTTGATTATGGTTGATTTCTGCTTTCCTACCATCATCTCTCTGACCACTTTGAGCCCAACTCATGTAAGCATGTTTGTGCATCTCTATTCTTATTCAATTTGGTCAAAAAAGAGAAATGAGATTTGGATAACACTAATATGAGCAAAGTCAATTTAAGCAAACTGGTTCAAGTCACTTCCGAGGCTTGGAAGACGATACGTAGAAATAACTGAGGTTTGGAATACCTAACCTACACCTAAGCCCACCTATGAGTTACAGAAGAAAATCTAGAGAAGAAAAAGTCCTACACAAAATTCATCAACTTTCTTAAAGGAAACATTATTATCAGCTAATAAGATGCTTTATCACTCATTTATCCTCTCAAACTGTAGTCACTACCAAAATCGTCCTTCCATTACTGTATTTCAAACATAGCAGTCTAGCAGTTTTGAGTTCCTAATGTCATCTTCAGAACCACAAGGCATATAAATGCAGCCAAGCAGCTGACAAGTGTGATCAATTGAACTTGAGGAAAGGTGACATACTATCTTCACCAATCATCTGAAAAGACAGTGGTACTAATGCCTTGTGTCCACCAAATAGAACAGGAAATGCTTCTGCCCATGCAATAATGTACACTAAATGACTCATAAAAGCAGGTGACTTAACTTTTTGTTCAATGTTCAAGATGTCAGCATCAATTATTTTTTTCCTTCCTAAATACTAGATTTTATCAGGGTCTAGTGTTAAGAACTGCTAAAGCACAGTTTTTAACTGTATTGGGCACTTAACTTTTATTTAGCACAATCAAGTGCTATTAAATTACTGTAACCCTATTTCGCCTCTTAGAAACAATCAGATTTACACCCCACCTTTACCCTATTGTTTCATCCCTAAAACAGCACCAACTAAAAGTACCAACTAATTTCACTTCCTACCATCCTATACAGTTTCCTTACTACAAAGCATCCATGCCTTAGGCTTCAATCTTTGTATTGACAGTTATAATAGTAGGATATTATCTTTGTAGGTAGAACCTTTCATTTCAAATAAATTCTATTCTAATTGCCTCAAATACCTATGGGCTCACAAGGTTTCTCGACATATTTAGAGTTTTTCAGTCAACATAACTGTTCTTCCACAATATGGTTCACATAAAGAGCTTACAGAAATAATTATCAAAAGTTCAAGCTATAGAAATGAGAGAAATAATTATCCAAAGTTTAAGCTATGACCTTACAGGGTTTCAAGTCCACTACGATTTTTAACAGAAACAATGTAGTGATGGCAGTATGAACTATTGGAAAAACAGAAGGGGCTAGTAAGAAGGATAAAAATTACTAGAAGCTTCCATTTTAAACTTTTAATTTCTTAATACAAGCAGAGATGGAGTCTCCATAATTTTCATATGAAAAGACAGAAAAACAGCCAATATAAAAACGGGAAAATTAACCAAGCAGAAGAAAGAGGTAGCAAACAGGAATCTGTAAAATTATATTTCACAAATAATTCATATACAATGCTTATATTACTGGAACTTGAACTGTACAATAGAATAAACAGAGACATTTTCTACGACTACCTTTGATAAAAAAATTAGATAGATTCCACAGGGTTGTCAACTAAGGGAAGAAAGAAAAGGGAACAAGCAACAAAAAGCTGACACAACAAGAAGACAAATGATAGCTTATTTTGTGGTTAATTTTGAAAAGCAAAGAGAAACGAGATTTTAATTAGAGGCCAAATTCACTTAAAAGCAAATAGAAGGATGAGGAACTATATTGAAAGCTATTCAGAAAAAGACAAGGTGCTCTTATTCCTTGTTACCAAATTTCTTGGCAATGATAGGACGGACATCATCAACATCAACCAGAGTCTCTAAGAAGGGAAGTAATGAAATTAGTGCACAATCAGATGGGTCATCAAACCAACTCTTAATAGGAATCCCGTTATTCACTTGCAACCTGAAAACCTGAAATCAGCAAAGAAGGATTCTTAAGCAATCAGAAGTATAAGCATGGGACGATTGTTATTCTACTAAGTTGTTAGTAGAAAATGCATTTTGATGCTGCTCATAGACAAATAACCTCTATCCTTTTCTAGGTCATATTAAGGAGCAAGGCATAAAAGTCCTCACAAGTACTCTTACTGTAAAGCTTGGTTAGTTGGATGATTCTTAAATGAACTTTATGCATCTCTTATAACCACAAGAAGAAGTACCTCTAAATCTGAATCTTTTTAATGACAAAGACATGCAATCACTAAATCACCAGTTCACATTCAAATAATCTTTGCCTCAGCAATATTAAATATCACAAGCACATTAAGTTTAAGCTAAAACAATAAATGTTTTTAAAAAAGGAAAATATGACTACCAGGATGACAATTACATGTCTTGACAGAATTTGAAGGCAAGAAGATGAAGATCATGAATGGTAAACGTTTAAGAGAAGTGGGCAGGTAAAATACCTGTGGAGAATTATCAATTATAGCAACTTTTGCAAGATCAACACCTAAAACCGTCAAGTCTTTAGTATAACTTCCATCTGAAAAAATGCAAGATTCACGATAAACCCGCCGAGATATGAGCTTTCGATCTGGGTCCAATATGTCCAGTAATTGTTCTGCATAAATGCTTTGGCTGGCAGTAAAGATGATAACTTCAAACATCTCTGCCACTTTCTCCAAAAAAGTCTGTAGGTGAGGCCTCTGCTTTACATACACAGTGTGCTCTCTCATGTTGAAAAAGACCGTAAAGGTGAAGTCCACATCATCACAATGTTCCAGTGTAGAGTGAACGAGTGTTTCTGCATGTATCAAAGAAATGGTAATCAAACATTTATAATAGTATTTATTATTAATTTGTTTAAAAAACAAACTGAAATGGAAAAGAAGCAAAGCTCAAATAATTCTATACATATTGTAAAAAGAGAAAGTAGCTTCCAGATCAAAAATGCCATCCCAAATAATTCGCACATGTGAAGCCATTAATAGTTTAATACCATCCAATAATTAACAGTTTGGCAAACAAAATTGGATGTGCAATCTATAACATCTTACACCTCAGAAAGCATTTGAAACTTTTCTTGCAAAACTTCAATATTGATGTCATTAACAGAATAAATACTGCATCTGTGGTGATTATGACATACACAGACAAACTTTGCCAGAGAAAAGTCGTTTAGCCTACACTGTTTAAGGGAATTGAGACAATAATTTCCCAAAAGGATCCACAAGTTTGTTTATAATCAGTTCAAGCCAAAATCATTTTTTAAGTATTATTGTCCACATCAGTACATTAGACTAAACTTCAAGTTATAGGCCTTATGGCTTTACTTATAACTTGAAACGGCCGGTTTGATACTCCATTTAAAAGATCACAAGAATTAGTTAGTTTGAAGAAATGTTCAAGCAGCAATACCAGTGAATGAATGATGGATTACTCCTAGACATAAAAACATACAATAGAAAACATGCAAAATAAGTATGTCTTACCATCCAAATCAAGCACAAGAGTTATGGGCTTCCTTCTCCAAGCCTTCGTAGGAACCATAGCAGGCTGGAAGCTTGATACAACATCAGATAGTTCTGGTAAATTTTTTATAAATGATTGTGGATCAAAGTCATCTGCTTGATCAGAGTCGGAGTTAACATCAGATTCCTGTATGCAGGGTCTTATCTGATCAATTGCCAGACATAAACCAGTATCATCTTGAGCCATCATGGCTTCCTCATGCAAATTAACATCATTTATATCATTGGTTTTGACAGTGTCCTCAAGGAAAGGCAGTATCATGTATTGCTCAGCCACATCAAACAACATACTTGGCTCGGAACACTTGAAATCAGGAAAAGAATTGATTCCAGAGATGTTATCATCAACAGCATTTCCATCAAAGGGTATGCTCGCGATTATCATGTCAGATATAAAGAAATCTGATACATTACATGTTTGACTGCCAAATGAGCTTTTGCTATCATCACTGTCATCAGCCCCTAATGCTGGCACTTCAGGGCCATCATTACTCCCTACCACAATTGAGAAAGAGATAACTGTATCAAATAACTATCTTAACAGAACCTTGCAACTTTCATGACATGAAAAAGTAACAACCTCTCAAATATTGAATTCCATAAAAGTTCTTCATCCAACTCAGTATTGAATACAAGTAAGACATAGTTATAGCAAGAAATATCAAATGCACAAAACCCCTAAATACCAAAAGCTCATCCAAGTAGAGATTGCCCCACAAGCATGCAACAAGATTAAAAAGAATCTTTCTTCTACCAAGTTCTTTTTTTATATAGCAGGCCATTGCCCTGGTAACTATATTCTATTCTCATTTTCTCTTTTCTAAATAAAATTGTTTCTATACAGGCCAAGTAAATTGCCAAGAGAGAAGGAATACTTATAACTTATTCATTACGTTTAGGCAGGGATTTCAACCAGAAAAGCTAAAAAAAACTGTCATTCTCTCAGCCACAACTGGAGAATGGAAAACATATTCATGCAAACCAGCAGAAACAAAGAATCACCTATATCATTGTCAATATTTAGTTCACTGTATATTTGGATTGGCTCCAGTAAAGGAGAGAATATTGTCTCTAAGTTTGTGGCACACGTTTGGGCAGATTCCTGCAAATTAATAAACCATAATTGATAAACAACCAAGTTAGGGGCCAGTCTACTACATGATATCTTCAAAAAGCAGAGTGAAAACGAAATTAACAACTAAAATTCACAAAATAAGGTCTTAAAAATTAATACAACTTACCATTCTCACCACAGTTGCAGAATCAACAAAAGCTGAAAGCTGTTTCTGCAGCTCAGAATCGTCTTCATCCAAATTTAGTTGCTGAGCACTGGCTCCATCAGTTTCAAAAACTTGAGAGGCTACTTCTATATTTGATGAATCTATCAAGAACAGTCAGTAAGCACATGCAACAAGCTAAAATATCAACGTAATTTATCTTCTTTCTTAAGAAAAGAACAAGCTAAAGCCTACAAGCAGAAAGCCTGTCATGCATGCATATAAGTAAACAAATGAACGAGCAAATAACCAATAAATTCTTATCCTTTGAAACACCACATAGAGGATGGACTGATGGGTATAAGGGCAGGGAATACATAAATGAGATCCTCATTTTCCATTATCTGCAAATACGTTAGCCAATAAATTAATACTACATTCTCCAAGTGCCTCAAATGGCTGATGTATGTACTTGGTCATTTGGTTGCCCTGCTACAGTCTGCTATAGTTTGATGATCATGGTACCAATCCAAACAGCTGCATCCTTTACATTCTAGAAATGGGATAGGACCCCATGATTCTAACTTCTATATTGGAATTTTTAGAACTACAGTTATACTCACCACATAAGTAGTTAAGTAAAAATATTGCAAAGAAAGCATCATTCTGAAATAAAAGGAAACTTGCAACAAATCACAAGCCAGGACAGGTAGTGTCAAGAGTATTGTCTACACTTGAGCAGACTAAAGCAATGTTCTGAAATTGCTAATTTTAATGCACTCAATTTACAGAGAGCACATAATGTCAAGATATAAGCAAACATCAAAGACTTTGGAAACCTTCATAATAGGACACTCCAACAAGCATCTGAAACTGTAACAATTAACATTAGACAAATATCAGCCTTGTTCAATGAAGTTGCTTACCATCGTGAGAATTTTGAATACATGTACAGAATTCAGTTCCTTGCTGAGAAAGCCTGACATGACAGCATGGTCTCTTGCAAATCATGCTAGACCTCTGGCACACGCGTAGACCATTTTTTTCTCTTAAAGATCCCGTGCTTGATTTGGTCTTCATTCTTAGAGATGGCATTTGATCTGCAACTGTTATATATACCACAATCTCGATTCTGGAACATCAGTGGGGAAAAAAAACCCCTCTAAATAATCAAATCACCAGCAGAAGCTCTGTCAAATGAATAGTCAAGGTAAGAAGTGAAGGTATTAAAACAGATTGACATAGCAGACTAACAGAACAAAGAGACTGATATATAAAAGAAAGAATTTTCAGCAATATAATTAGTAAGCAGAGCCAATGAGACATGTATTGCAAAAATAAAACCAAAGAAAAATATGAGAATTAAAAGTCAAAGTTCATAATCCTTTTCTAGAACCACTAAAGAATGATAAGATAATCAATTCATAATAACACCGAACACCTTAATTCTGAAACCTAGATCTAGATTTCTGTTAGATAAATATAGGGTTTACTACAGTCTGTCTTGACAGACAATTTTTCATACAAAAGAAAATTTAGAAGAGAAAGGTAGCAAAAACTGTTCATGAAGAGACAAGAAAATAAGAAACCATATCAAAGAAAAACAAACTGTTCAAGTAAAAACTACCAAGATTAAAGTCAACCCAAGTCTTTTAATCCCATAAAACACAATAAATCTCATCAACCTACCTTAATTACACAGCAAAATACCAAAGAAGACAGTAAAAAACCCAAAAACTAAAACCCTTTTGCACATTAAACACTTACAAAAAACAATTGAAATAACAGTTACACAGTTTCAACTATCATTTAAACAGTCATAAATTAAAAACCTACAAAACCCAGAACTGAAGATCAAAGAAACAGTAGAAAACAACAAAATCAGCTAAAAGAAAATTTGCAAACAAAAAAAAAGTAAAAAAGTGAAATTTTCTACAGCATGAAAACAGAAGTACCTGTTTAGCAAAAAAAAAAAAAAGAAAAAGAAAAGACTTCCTTTTTTTCTTTTCTTTCTCTCTCCTTTGCTAAACAAAGACTTGTGTTCTTGTTTCTCTCCCTTTAACTTCCACGAATGGTCAAGGCAAGGTTGGAGGGGGGCAAATGTCGGCTTCTATTTGATGATATGGACGGCCGTGATCAAATCTTTGAGTGAGTTTGGACCCAAAGATTTTTGCCACGTAGGATGTGGAACCAGCTCAGACTGACGCGTTGACACGTGCAGTTTCGTGGAAAGAGAGGGAACTTTTGGGAGGAAATTGTGGAGGGGATGGAGTTTGATGTTTTTTCTAGTCGCGTTTTGTAACACGTGTTTGCACGCACCTTTTACAGCTGTTATTAGTTTGTTTTAAAATGTTTTTCTTTTTTGGATTTTTAACGGCAATTATTTGATGCAGGTTTTAATCGAAAAAACACATAAATCAATTATCAAATTAAATATTTTAAAATTTTAAACAAAAATGAAATAAATATACTTTATTTAAATGGACGCATTGATTAATTAATCAGATATTTTGTCATTCATCCGGCTTCAAGTTCTTAGCTGTAAGCCTGCAAGTTTCACCAGAAGAGATTTAAAGAAAATATCTTTTATGTGTGGAGCAAAACAAATATAGAAAAAAAGTTGGGGCTTTTTCAATGACCTAATTTCCAGCTGCAGAGGGGAATTTGGTGCACCCTGGCCCAATTGAATAATAGTGTCTTGTCAAAGTTCCCAGGAACATAAAGCTATCATTCAAAAATTCTGTTGTTCAATGACCTTTCCAACAATCTTAGGTATACTTACTAGACATATATATATATATATATATCACTCACGAGGTCCTGCATCATTGGAAGCAAACAGGGATGAGTATTGTTCAAATCTACAAGACAATACATAAGGTGTGCATAGTAATGAATTTGAGATTTTTTGGAGCTGTGTTTTGGAACACCGGCTGGAACAGCTGCATATGAACCTGGATTCCAACTTTGTTTTCTCTTTTTTAATTCTTTGATCAACCTTAGATACCCACTACAGGATTCCAGATAGAGGTACTGTAGACAAATGGAGTAAAAAAAAAATGTTTGATGATACTGGAAATTTGTTTTTATCAGAGAAACTTAACTGGTAAACTGCAACTAAGATAAAAAAAATATATAGGCAAGATATGGTGCAAATAGTTTGCCTGCAGCCATGCCATGCAGGACATTTTAAGCACTTTGCAAAGAATTAAGCTGTGGAGAAATCAATGTAGGTTTAGATTGCAAATGCTATCTCTGCGTAGAGAAAGCAGAAGACAACAGAATAAGCTGAAGATCATGTTTTCATTTTTTTTAACAAATTATCAGAAAATGGGTGGCTTAAGACTTCAAATAATTTCAGCACAAAGATTTGCTCTCGGACTAAAAAGTGATTGGATGCAGTGCAATAGTATTCTTGCTACTCATGGTTACATGAACGAAGGGAACAAAAAGATATGAACAAATACTAAAGAATTAAGCTATACTACTCGAGTTAAAAGTAAAAGTGCAGAAGTTGAAACTATATTCAACTTCCTAGCCAGCAAATATTGTAGAATATTTACAATCCTAGCTCGCAAATATTGTAGAATATTCACAATTGATCTACACGTATCAAAGCTATCTTACTTTCTTAATCTTATTTCTTTATTTTGTTTCATTCTCTAATTTTCTAACAATTTATACATGAAATTCATAGACTATATAGACTATCCTATTACATTAAAAAGAAACCAAAAAAAGAGCTTGTAGAGAAAACCGCAATGTTGGAATTTTTAGCATGTAAGAACTTGTGGCTCATATATATTTAACATAGATATTCAAGATTTTTTATGTTTTTTTTTTTTTTTTGGGGGGGAGGTTTTAGTTATGAGGTGTTCATTGTCTAAGAGAATGGACCAAAAATTGTTGGTGTCTTATCTTCTCTTTTCATATTTATTGTCAAAGCATGTTGTTATCTGATATTTTATGCTTTTCACAGAGTCCTATTTCTCTGCTACTAAACCAATGCTTACAAATTTCTGTTTATATCCATTTTTTCAGGACCTGTGGATCAGTACATATTGTCCCCTTAGCGCTATTTTTAGTTTCGACATATATCAAACTTTGGATTCATGGCTCCAAACCACATGTGATTGATTCTTAGGTTGATATGATTTCAGAATATGTTTTACTTGTACAATTATTCATTTTTAACATTTGAAGTGAGAGAAGTTAAAAGAGATGATTATTTCGAAAGGGGGACAGCGACAAAAGAAAGTGTCTTATTTGACAAAAGTTGACATGAGAATGATAGTGCACCGGTACAATAATAGTAGCAAAAATATTGTGTTAAGACAGGTTTAATCAAGAAGAAATCTTTATTAAGGAAATGGAAACATGTTTAAAGGTCAGATAAAAAGGAAGCAATAAAAACCCCATCTGAAAATGAAAATGACGTCTGGATGCTTATTACAAAGAGAGAATCAATGAATCATCGAACAAAAACAGGATTAACAAAGTACAGCGTTGATAAAGTTCCAGCTACTCCTTCACTACAACTGTACTTGAACTATTCTTACAAGACAGAAATGAGTTTTTGAGAAGAAAATCCCATCAGCTAAAAAACCCTTCCAAGAAATGGAACTTGAGAGTGGAAGAAGAGCAAAACAGCCCCAACAACAACAACCGAATACTACTTTTTCATCATCGGCTGCAAGTAACATGAAACCCATAAATAAAGGCAAAGCCATTGCTCAGTACAATGCAGATGCTGGGCTTATGGCTGAGTATGAGCAGTCAGGTGTGTCTGGTAAGTCCTTTAACTATTCAAGATCAGTTATTTATGCTCCACAAAGTGTACCTGAAGAACAAATTACCGCTTTTCTTTCAAGAATCCAAAGGGGTGGTCTTGTTCAACCCTTCGGTTGTATGATTGCTATTGAAGAACCCACCTTTAGGATCATTGGTTATAGTGAGAATTGCTTTGAGTTCTTGGGTTTGCGCTTGGATAGTGAGGATAAGTCTAAAGGGTTCAAGGGTTTGATTGGAATTGATGCAAGAAGCCTTTTTACGCCGGAATCAGGTGTTTCCTTGGCAAAAGCTACAACTTCTAGGGAGATTTCTTTGTTAAATCCAATTTGGGTTTATTCTAGGAGCACTCAAAAGCCATTTTATGCTATATTGCATAGGATTGATGTGGGAATTGTGATTGATTTGGAGCCTGCACGGTTAGGGGATCCTGCATTATCACTTGCTGGTGCTGTGCACTCTCAGAAACTCGCTGTTAGGGCGATTGCTAGGCTGCAGTCTCTCCCTGGTGGGGATATTGGTGTATTATGTGATACAGTTGTGGAGGATGTTCAGAAGCTTACCGGCTATGACAGGGTTATGGTGTACAAATTCCATGATGACGATCATGGCGAAGTTGTGTCAGAAATCAGGAGGTCTGATTTAGAGCCGTACTTGGGTTTGCATTATCCTGCCACAGATATCCCTCAAGCTGCCCGTTTCTTGTTCAAGCAGAATCGTGTGAGGATGATCTGCGATTGCCATGCGAATCCAGTTAAGGTCATTCAAAGTGATGAGCTGAAGCAGCCTCTCTGCTTGGTAAATTCAACCCTAAGGTCGCCCCATGGATGTCACACACAATACATGGCAAACATGGGCTCCATTGCCTCTTTAGCGATGGCAGTCATTATTAATGCTAACGATTCAACAAAGCTATGGGGTCTGGTTGTCTGTCATCATACTTCTCCACGCTCTGTGCCTTTTCCCCTTCGTTATGCCTGTGAATTTCTTATGCAGGCATTTGGAATGCAGCTATACATGGAGCTACAATTAGCATCACAACTAACAGAAAAGAAGATTCTAAGGACTCAAACCTTACTCTGTGATATGCTGCTCCGTGATGCCCCATTTGGTATTGTGACACAATCCCCTAATATCATGGACCTTGTAAAGTGTGATGGGGCTGCAATGTACTACAGTGGCAAATGTTGGTTGCTGGGTGTGACCCCAACTGAATCACAGTTAAAAGATATAGCTGCGTGGCTGCTTAGCACTCATGGGGATTCTACTGGATTGAGTACTGATAGTTTGGCCGATGCTGGTTATCCTGGTGCTGCTTTACTGGGTGATGCAGTTTGTGGCATGGCTACTGCCAGAATCAATTCAAAGGATTTCTTGTTCTGGTTCAGGTCTCATACTGCGAAGGAAGTGAAATGGGGTGGAGCCAAGCATCATCCAGAGGACAAGGATGATGGTGGAAGAATGCATCCAAGGTTGTCATTTAATGCTTTTCTTGAAGTGGTGAAGAGTAGAAGTTTGCCTTGGGAGATTCCAGAAATTAATGCTATTCACTCTTTACAGCTTATAATGAGAGATTCCTTTCAACACATGGAGGACAGTGGCTCCAAGGTGTTAGTTTGTGCCCAGCAGAATGATACTGAGATGCAGGTGATGGATGAACTCAGCTCAGTAACATACGAAATGGTTAGATTGATTGAGACAGCAACAGCTCCAATATTTGGAGTTGATACAGCTGGTCTCATAAATGGTTGGAATGCAAAAATCGCTGAATTGACAGGCTTAAAAGCTGATGAGGCAATGGGGAAATCCCTGGTTAATGAAGTTGTTCATGAGGATTCACGTAAAGTGATTGAAAATCTCCTAAGAAGAGCTTTGCAAGGTAATCGCACCTATGTTCAATGGTTGAAGATATTCAATAAAGAAATGGCTTCCTGTTTTTGACTCAAAATATGGGACTGCACTTGTTTTCTGTTCATATTTCATTCAATGTACAGTTTGTGCATTTGATGTCCTTGCTGTCGTCTACCAATAAAGTAACTCCACTGACTTTAATTCCATCACTCTGGTCTTGGTTGCGTTTATAAATTTCTCAATCATCTGTTTCAAACATTTCTTCTACTAAATAATTGAGTTTGGACTCCTGTTGTTGTTCTAGTGCCTTCAAGTCCAAACTAAGCACTTATCAATTCTGCACTCAGCATAATCATTTTTTATAAACCAGCCATATGGTTTACTTTGTCACCTTGCTTTCAAATTTATGTACATTTTTTCTTTCAAAGCAATAA